GCACTACACAAACAGTCATTATTTCCTGAATCAAATAGATGTGGTAGCCTATATAGTAGTAAAGTCTGCTGAATACTCAAGAATCGTCATTAATTTAATCATAAACCTTCCACACAAACATGAAAATATCGTTGTTTTAGGCATATTTTTCTCAGTCGAGCCTTCCTTAAAGTTACCGTACCTATTTGAGAACGTTATATGAGCTAGTGCTCAACTAAACTTGATATTCATGGTAAGAATCTACAAGTGTTTAATTAATAGCTTATTTATACCCGTTAACTTAACTCACCACATAACTTAACTAATAATAACTAAAAAATACGATGGAAAGACCACCCAACTGAACGCAAGAACGAGCAGTACAAACCGAGATTCATCCGTCCGCCTACAGTTGATAAGATCTCTTCAGGGTTATGGTCCAATTATTGTTCATGCAATTCTGAATGTAATGCCTATTGTTATTTTCATTTGGTTTGAAGTCACCACTATCCAATTAATCGCCCCACGTAATCTGGCGCAACTTTAGATCAATCCCATCACCGGTCCGCGAAAAATTACTATCGGTCCGCAGAAAGATTACATAAAAACGGATAGCGTCAAAAAAACACCTCTACAATCTAACAACAACGAATCCCCGCGATTAAAATTTCGAATGATAATGAGTTGAAAAGCGTATTTGCGATATATATCTTAGTAGTCTTGTGGTCGATACTTATAGATAAATACTCATTGGCCTTTTTAACGCCAAATTTGCCATTTTTCAAACGCGTTTGGCGTCAGAATTTCCGTTTGGCTTTTTGGCGTTTTTTTGACTTTTTTCAAGTCTATTCTAATCTCTATTATCAAAATCATATGAAATACAAGATTTAGTGTGTAACAACGTACTTAGCTACTTAACATTAGGATTTCCTGAAGCATCGATTTCCTTGTTTGTTACATTAAAACTCTTAACCATATCCTACCCAATAAGAAATAATTGCAGTTTCTGCAGCTGCTCAGACAGATGTTCAAGCAGGTTTGTAAACATTGCCTCGTTTTTATAGTTTCGCCTAGTCAGTTTTACATTCTGTTTCCAAAAAAAAGAGTTTTTCAAGATATATCACAAGTTTAAGTAGAAACATGTAGGTATATTACATACTGACAGACTGAGGCGGCACCCTGTATTGTATATATTCAATGGTAAAATGATGCTGTCCGCTTGATATTCATTTTACTTTCTACAGTTCTATAGGAACTTTACTTTCTATTTGTGTGCCTCACTGAATGAACTGATGGCTCTACATCATCATCAGTACGTTGCCAAGGGCTTAAAGTCTGACAAATCATGGGGCTTTTGTACTTAGTGAAATTGTTGGCTTTTTCTGGCTTTTTTTATGTCTTGATTTGGCTTTTTTTGATCGCTGGGGTCCGGCAACCCTGACTCATACTTTGCAAGAGAAGATTCACAGACAGTGTTACCTTTTTATGTGAGTCGGGTTTTCGATATTCACAATTACAACTACAAAAACAAAATATCGAAATCGGGTGGACGTAAGAAACACGTTACGTGTATCACGTAGTAGTATATATACCGTATCACTGTAGAGTGTCGACCATAACTTCAAATTGGGAACAGTTAATCCAGAGCCATTATATAATGGCTCTGGTTAATCCATGTACAAACAAATACAGATCTCGCATTAAATAGCATCAACGGGTACCCCTGTTTTTGGAGATAATTTCAACATAAATTTTCTAACGTGTGTAATTTACTACATAAGCTTAGTTCGTTTGTATAAAGATGGTCGCCAAAATTTTGGTTAGGCTTTACCGCTCCTTCACCTAAAAAGGATTGCCGACCACTGCATTAGATTATTTAGCAATTGGCGCTAAAGGGCTATTGCCGGCATTACTCGCCTGCTAAATAAAATGCTATTCATTTAGCTACAGATCATGCTAAGCATACCCCATCGATCACGCGGTGTGCCTTTGTATTCCAGCACGGTATTCTCTTGTGAGCTCGGCTGCATTGAAGGCAAATCGTGAAGTCCAAAGTATAGAAGTACGGTATGCCTGTGCGATGCCACACTGATTCAGACTATGAATAATTTGAGATTTCGAACAGCTTAAAAGGATGGCGTCAGAAACGTAAAGATTTTTAACCAAGCTTGCAGAAGTATAAACATATTCTTAAAATTAGTAGTCTACCCCCATTTTCTTTCTCAAGACGCCTGAGATGTTCTGCAGTCCAGGACCAAATATCATGAAAATTGGGTTCTAGTCAAGTAAACGCCATAACTGTTTAGGATAGGATTTACATATATATTTAAATAACTCCTTACAAAAATGTGATGTCAGGATGTGAAATGAACATAGTTGGTGAATGAACTGCTCAAATATTACCAAACAGAAATGTGATTTGAAATTTTAATGTAAAAAGATTGAAATTACCTAGTATTGTGTCTGTCGAAAATGCGTAAAGGTGGACAAATCACCTGTCGTCTGGTGAGTCGAGTTGTTCGTCTCCCGTTTGTGACTCGTCCCATGTTCAGCATATTGTGTTCGTGCAAGACGGACTTCAGGACTTTTATTTTTAGTAAAAAAAAATGAAAATTTGGGTTGAATTTTCACATCACAATATGTTGGCGTTATCGAAGCACTTACAGCATTCAGTTTCACACCACATTTGTGTTTGGTTTTTTTTTAGTGTAAGCAGTTATGGCGTTTGCTTCACGAGACCCGAAAATTGTGTATGCTTGGCACTTATAGATATTATCTATTTCTGTATTTTATTCCTACAGTTATTGGATGTTTATGAAGCAATCATAATGACTTCCAAAGGAATTACCCGTTTACTCCAAATTTTCAAAATGATGTGGATCAGCTTCTTGTCGATGCTAGCTTGTCTTAGCTCAGCACTTGAGAAGATTCAATATTTTCAAGAGTTTATACAAAGAACTTCTTCAAAAGCTAACGGAATATTCTTACGAGTATCAAGCATTCCCATTGCAATGTGGAAGGCGATTGTGAAACCAATTATGTTCTCTCTTCAAGCTACAGTTTTGTTGGTGTTTGGAATTATAACAAGAGTGTCTCTTATTCTTGCTGTGTTATTCAGGCCAGTCCAAGAAAATTGCAATCTGGAGGAGAAGCCATCATTTAGAAATAAGCAAACTAATGTTCGTCGTTGTGATTGATGTAATACCAGTAGAGCACTCTAATTCCAAGATGTCCCAATATTCAGATCCATAATACAAACACTCTATTTGTTCCAGAAACGAGGGTGTGTGGCATGATGGCAGTTGTGTGAGATTGCTCTATGTTTGTTGCGATGATGATATAAATCAATTGCGACGTCCGTTGGGCGTTGAATGACTTAAATTCATTCCTGTTGACTATCTTTTGCTTAAAACATTCATATGCTTTGGTAAAATATTTTTCTTCAGTGAATCGCATTATTGTTTCCAGAGGAATCTAATAGCAGAATAGTGTTGCTTTTGGATTGCGCATCCCGACCTCCCTTCAGTTTATTGCACAATATCTGTTCACGATTTTGTAGAGGATGTGGAGGCGCCCAACTGTCTCGCAAAAGAGGAATTTGTATTCACAATTGATTTGTCTTTAAAGGCAGGAATTATTTTTCGGAATCTGGAGTACCTCAGGGATTTTCAACTTTTAGCAGAATTTCAATTTTGAAATATTCAATTTATGGCAAGCATGAAAAATTTTGTAGAAATTCTAATATGGCACAAGTCCGCAAGTGGCAAAAATTTGGAGAACTCAAAGCTTTTCAGTTGTCAATTAAAAAAATTCATCTTTCCATACTTGGAAAAATACTAAATTGCTTTCTAATAACTATGCTTGAATGATAGTCATTTTTTTAAGATGATGCTGAAATTTATTCAGTTACTCATTTTAAATTTTTTAAATGAATTGACATACCAGGAGCTAAAAAAATGAAGGTAGCGGTAAAAACGCCTGACAAATGTCATTCAAGCTTTGGTAGTTGAATATACAATAAAAAAAACATGGTTATAACTGTTTATGTACAAAAATATTAACTGTGTAATTTGCTTTTGGGGTTATCAGGATGTAGGATCGTGTTTGCATTTTAGTTCCCCACAATTTAGCCCCTTGTAATGTAGTATTGCCGTTGTTGTATGTACTGGTATGTAATTGAATATTTTCTTGTTTTATAAACTATTTTCTTCATTCATAGCTAATGATTTCTTCATTTATGCAGTTCTCAATATATTCGAATATTCAATACCGTAAATCATGCTTTTTTTATAATTGTTTGTTGGACCAATTGCTGCCTTCCCCAATAGTTTAATATTATTATTTTGTTGAATTTGTTTTTAGTCTTTGTTTATTAAAGTTAAAATACTAGATGTGAAATTTAATCTAATTACTGTGATTAATTGCAATCAAATTAATTCTTATTACTGTGAATTTATGTAATGTATATTCTATGCTATTGAAGTGGTTTTGTGACTAGGTTGAACTTTACAGACTTGTTATTTCATTTTGGAGGTGTTCAAATCTGGTTACTGGTACTCTTCTGCCAACATGTTGCAATTTGCACATAATTATGTAAATGTGGGAGCCACAGTCATATTAATGTAAACAATATTTGTCTTTTACTTGAATTAACTTGTCAAATTTCCATTTGCTCACTAGTTGGCATATCATGCGTTTGAAACATTTGCCACTGTATTGCCGAATGTTCTGTACATGGTTTGCAAGTTTGATTCCCATGGAGAGTATGATATTTATGTGCCAGCGAATTGGTGATAATCTCCACATCGCAATAAGGTCAATATAACTGCTGGTCAGTTAGACATGCACCATCCTCGTATATTCGTCTAAAACTTTCTTAATAGGATAACTGTTTCAATACTCATTTTAGAGTTCTAACTAAAAAACTATGACTTGCAAACCCCATGGTTTTTCAGCCTTGTTGACTTTCCTAACCTCACATGTTTACATTTTATCTTGCTTAATAATTTCAGCCAAATAGTGTAAGCATACACATTACTGTGAATAAGTAGAACTAAATTGGATTTAGTTCTGGGAATCATTCTTTAAATTCAAGCTGCTTGCAGTTTTGCAGCCATCGATATGGGAGAGTTAATGACAAAACACATGTGGAATGAGCGTTCCAAAGAAGTAGTTGGTAAGAAATCGTCAGTATAGTTCCATAAATGTTTTAATTAAACCGAAATATATTAGTCCATTCCAATTTGATTAGTTGCAAATGAAATTTTGAAGTTCAATAACTGAAAGAAATGTAATTTCAAATTGTGTTGTGTCAACCAATGCAATTTATATTACAAGGTCTGATTTTTAATGCTTGATTCCTAAACCATATATTATTCATTGTATAGCGGATACAAAAAATATGGTGATTCAAGTGGCGGAAAGATATAAATCTGCATATTCATATTGTATTCTGCAACAAATGAGAAAAGATTTGAGTGGAAAAAATGAAAAAGATTTACTATTAAACCAAAGAAAGGTAGGTATTGTTACAACAATTTTGAGTCTGCTTTTTGGTTTAGTTTCTTCTTCTCTTATGATATTACAACTATAATTTTATTTTGATGGGGTACTGCACCGGTACTTGGTCTATGTCAAGGTGTAACAATTTTGGTTGGCAGTGCTGAATAGTAATGATTCTAATCTCTCTTATTTGCGCGTGCTTGTACAGAGCGTTGTTTAGAGTTAGGGTGTGAAATTGCCTCTTTATAGTGACATTTTCATTTAAAATAATACTAATTATTATTGGAATAAACATTTTCGTAGTGCAGCTGTTCATTCTTTTTATCTTCTATTTTAGTGGCAAAATTATAATCGACCTCTTCAGTCTGGGTCACTTTATGTCCTCGGTGGATCTGAACACAGGAAATGGAGACGAAGATATTGTGTTCTTCAACCAGATTATACATTGGAGGTTTATGACACCGAGGAAGTATGTATTCTTTGCTGCAATCTATTACAAGGCTTCTATAGACATTTTTAAAAAACAGTCAATCAAACAGTCAAAACAAATTCAATCTATTGAGTAAAGTTTCTTGTTTTTATGTTAGATAGTTACTAGAAGTAACTACGGTAGTACTAGAGTTGTGTGATATCACGAGCTTGTTTGACCTTCTTTTAGTATTGCGTCTTATTATATTATACTCAACTCTTGCGGGTAACAGTACTTAGTATAACCTTATGATTCAAATGAATGAACTTTCCACTGCTTGACTAGTAGTATATCAATCAAATTGGCATTTGATGCATAAAAACTTGAATAGCAATTTCAATATAATGGGTCAATGTGTTAAATTGTCTGTTTGGTTATTGCAAATAAACAATATTTTTGTTCATTTACTATAGGATTTTGATGCAGCCAATAAACCAAGATTCTTTCGAAAATTCAGCAGTTTTAAAGTCATTGACAATGTAGATACACATTTCAGTCAATTAGTCAAAGAATATTTGAGAGATTTTGGTGAGTTATCAACATTTCCTGTTGCAATGTACATGTATGAAATAATAGAATATAAGCCTCGGTTTTTAACAACACTTCTGCAAATGAGTTTTTGCTAATACTAATGGAATGGCTATTGTTATCACGGTTGGGCCATGACCAAAATACCGTAATTTACTATTTATATTATAAATAAATAGGCCTGAATAAATTTTAAAAACTTCTTGAATAGGAAATATACAGGGATATCCAAAGCGAATTGAATATTTAAATACATTTGAAATTTATTGTAGGATATTCGATATAGTAAATTTTTGATTTTAGCAATAATTTGGAACATTTTTATTCAATAATTAAGAATTTCGAGCCAAATATATCAAAATGTACAATAAATTCACTGGTCAAAAAAAGGAAAGAGAAAACAACGATCTTTTATATTTATGTTTTAGATGGGATCAACATGAAGATATAGTGATTTATGTAATTTTCCCAATATAGAATGTATTGATATTTCATATTCAATGGTATTTTCTCAGAATGAATTGGAAATAGTAAAATATTTGATTTTGGCCATCCCTAGTAATACGGCATATATTATGATTTGTTTATGTTTGACGGTTGTTAATTTGCACGATTCATTATATATTCATAGTGGTTGAACTTGATAATGTGGAAAAATCAATAAATGATGTTTTATTTGATTTTCTACAATTTCTGTTAAATAGTTGTAGCCTATTTTTGCCTTCCTGATGTCAATTTATCAATATGGCAGATTTTAAATTTAATTATTAAATCAAGAAATTATAACTTTGAAGATATTTATTGTTGAATATTCGGTTTGTTTTGGACACTCCTTGGTCAGGCATTGTGTCCCAATTCTGATGTCAAACGGATGTATCATGACAATTGTGCAAATTAGCTTGAAGTTTTGATTATGCATGTCCCAGTTATTCTATTGTTTTCACATTGATTCAAAATATTGAAATTTTTTTCATTTTATTTCAATATCTCAGGTTTTGTTCGAGAAAATGTATCAGAAGTTATCAAAAAAGTTGGATCTGGTAACGAGCCATCCAAGAGACCCACTCAACATGTTCTTGCATTATATCATAAATATAGAGGCACATTTTACATGGCTGCTGATTCTGCTGTCGAGAAAGAAAAGTGGTTGAAGAGTATGCAAGATGCAGAAAGGCAATTGTCAGGTCTGTTTAAATTAAATATTAGCAATTATTTGCTCATTGTGCTTCTGATTGTTTGAATAGCTGTATGGGTTCTCTAATATTATGCAATATTGAATATGTTGAATTTTCGGCGCTCCAAAAGTGTATGTACCAATATGGAGGTAACTAATTTTGTTCGCCTACTTTACTGTTGAAGCGACTCCAAAGTATATTTAATAATAAATGTCCTAATCAAACAGCAATAAATGTTCAAAGCAATAACCAAAGTAACACATACAGACATAAGCAACACCAGCTCAACTGTGCACCAGACTGCTGGGTGCACATGGCCACATCACCTTCACAGATGGTTGGTCATGATCAGTCACCAGCAACTGATGACATCAAAGGTCATGCTCAACCATCTGGGAAAATGCTAGTTGCCAGAAATACAGTTAACATTTACATCAAGTTGTGTAAAGAGACAGAAGCGTATGGGCTGAGGGTATATTCACTGGGTATATTCACTTGGATAACACAGACAGTCCTCGAACTCGTAATAGAACTAAAATAAGGAAGATCTGAATGAAATTATGGCCTAACCCTAACCTGGTAAACACACTGCGAGAGTACCGAATTTTCTTCACAATGGAAAAACACCCATTTGGGAAAATAGTTACATGATGAATATATTTTAAATTGGGTCACAATCAACAAAGAACACATTGAAGTCCATTGGTATTAGATCATTATCTTCAAACTTGCTATAGCAACCTTGCTTTTTAGTCAAATTGTGAGGTTTCGATTGCTCAAATTGATAATTTTTTCGATGAAATTATTATTCATAAAACCTGGAATGCAAAACATAATTAATTTGAAATCGATTGGAATATTCAATTCGTTTTTAACATCACTAATTGTTACTTGATATTGCGAATGTTCAAGGAAGAGATGTTATATACTGTTGTTGACTTCTGAATGCTTCTTTCATTACTGTTTTACTGGTGAAATATGTTAATAAGATGTTATGTTTTGTATGGTTTCATTAACAAAAACAGTTACGGTAAATAAAATTTATTCTTCGATGTGCTAGAAAGCATAGTATTATCGTATTATCTTGGTATTATGAGTATATTCTGGTAGCCTGGCAGCAATTACGGTATCTGATATAATAAAACAGCTGTTATTCAAGATAATTTAATTTTAGCACGTTATTTTGATACTAAAAAACTTACGAAGTTACGAAACTAATTACGAAGACTATTGTGCGAAAGATAACACTAAATTTTTTGTATTTCAGTACTCGTGATTTCATCATTATTTATGTACTAAAAATGAAATGTAATTTCAAGTCTAATTTTTTCCAAAATTTTGAGTCTGGAAAATACTGAATATTGATTGATACTTTTCAGAAATTAATCTTTGCATTGGCCAAGAAGAGTCGAGATGAAAAAAAAAATTTTAATTGATCATCCCAAATATATTCTAAAATAATACCTTCGGATATGGGATATTGAAATGAAACTAAATCTAACTTATTTTCAAAATCATGAATTCATATGACTGTATTCACATCTATCTAAGTGTTATTGAAAATATGCTGGAATGGCCACTTGTAGAATTAGAGTTGAAACAACATGAGAATAATCTGTGATTTTGCTTCCCTTTATTATGAAGTATTTGTTGTGCTGGAAACTTGGTGAAGTATCTATATAATTTTGTGATTCAAGCTTATTTGTATGGTAGGCTACTGTAATTTTCAGGATTTTGGATATATAAATTTTTTGGTTTTAGTTCTCCTGTGTTTATAGTAACCTGACTTCACTTCGAAAACATGCACCTAGTCAAACAAATTTGAAGTATTTGTATATTTGATTTATTAGTCTTACTTTTGATGTCTGGAATTATGTTAGGACTTGTATTTATGTACAGTGTACACTTTCCTATATGCTTTGGGACATATCAACATTTGAAAACTAGGTCATCATCAATGTTCCCTTTTGGACTGTTAGATTGTATGACTTTTCATTCACACTCTCATCTACAACAGTAAAATATATATATGGAACACTGGTACTTAACTTCCATAAATATACCCTTAATAATAAAGATTGCTATCTTCTAGATGTAAGGTATAGTTAGGGATGCCAATTTGAATAATTTTTGGTGAAATTTTCGTTACATCTGGTCACTGTATTCAGTAGCGTTTCCCACTTTGCAAGTTTGTCAAATTTCCTATACTGGTAAATTCCAAATTGTATTTGCAGAACAAGCAAAAAGGAAAAGGTTCTTTACTTGACTCTTGTTATTGTCACACACCACCATTAGTCTTTTTAACTCCTTATAGGCTATGTAATAAAACTAAAACTATTATAAACAGTCATGTGATTTATTGCCATCTTAAATGATACCCCACTGTTTGGAAAGCAATGAAGCGAGTCTGTCTTTTAGGGTGCCTGAGAATTATCACCTGCTATTATTCATCTAAAAGAAATAAATTTTTGTGAGATCACGAGACATACGGTAATTCTAAAGAAATGTCATTTTATATTTCAGGTTATAGCTTGAATAAATCCAAAATTGTATGGCCATATCCAAATAATTTGGTATTCCGAATCCATTCTGAGATAATATTTTTGAATATGGATGATCGAATTTATTTGAAATTGGGCATTGTTCAATAAAAAAATTTGCATAAATCATTGTAAAAATTTTTGTAATGTTGAGGTAAAGATTGTTTTGATTGGTTTTCTATTTTACAGTGTCAGAAGTCGAATAAAATATATGACCATCATATTAAATGACCATAAACCATATAGATAGTTTATTACCAAAAATATTTCAAATTCTTCTTTATTAAATCATACTCACTTTTTTGAATAAAGTCAAAAATTTGTTACATTTTGGATATATTTGGGTTTCAAAATTTTATTTTCAATAATTGATAATATTGGTTGTTTAAAAATATGAATTTCAACCATACAGATAAATAAATGTTTTCATGATATTTTTGTCTATTCATTTAATGTTTGAAACATACAAATAATTCTTTGTGTCTTTTGATTGGGCTAATGGAAAAGCTGTTCTGTTGGAAAATCCAATGTTTAAATCCGTTAGCAGTAGAGTGTTATTAACTTTATAAATAGTCTCATCAAGTTTATATACACAAAAAACGAGGAAACGCCAACAACCTACTTCCTCAACTATTCCTGATTATTATATTTGTTGTGAGATGTGACGTTGTACATGGCTTTTTGAAAACAACTTTATTTGACATGGACCTTAATATTCTTTTAAACTTGTATCGTATTTCATCTATAGTAAAACCAAACTATATAATACATACTAGTATTTAACAACAGTGATTTGGTAAATTTCAATAGTCTCACAGAGCTTGTATCAAGGATGTTTAATGTCTACGCAATTCTGTGTATCTATGTTTTATACTCGATTGTCTCTTGAATTTTAAAATATTTTGAATAGTTCTGTACACCATATCATTAGAATGGTCTACCAGGTATTAAATAAATAATATAAATGATCGCAAATAAATTATGCTCATCAGCTGACAACCAACAAGGTTAGATCAATTTTTGCTTGTATCATTATATTTAACGGTAGATTAAAAGTTTATCTGATGATATGTAAATTACTGCTTATTAATACATAGTATTGATCCACCAGCAAGTGCAAAAAATTTATAATGCGGCGGTTCCCTGCGGTTCATCGTTTTATTATCTGATTGCAGTTTTTCTGTAAATTCTTCATTTTTGATGGGTTTTAGGAATATATGTACCTATTTTATATCTTATTATTTTGAATGATGAACAGTTATGAAATCTAAATAAATTAATTTTAAAAATTAACAAATAGGGTTATCAATTCCTCATAAATCTTTTACAATTACAGAACATCACTAGTGCAAAACAGCTCTTGTTTTTCAGTATGCACCATATTTATTTTACATTATGAATCAATTTTATCTTTGGTATTTATTTATATCTATGGACATCCCCTTTACACCGCTATGCTATAATAAACTGTAAGGGATGTAATAAATTACCTTATTCCAACATTGCCCATTACCATGGAAATGCAAACAAACCATTTGACCATTTGTTTCGCACACATACAAATGTTTACTTTAACATGTTGACTATAAATCTACTTTAAAGATTTAATCTAAAAAGCAAGAAAGTGATACTGAATTGAGTACGGGAGGTTTTTTTTCGTAATTTTTATCAAAAATATAAAGTATATTTAATACTTATAAATTTGAATAAAAAATCTGGAAATTTTTTTTTGGTATTTCTTATTGACAATAGAGATCATACATTTACATATGTAGCCTATCGGTAAATTGTGTCATATACTAAAAATGTACCTCGTAGCTAATGTTACATAATTGTGTTTCAATTGCAATAATATCACAATATGCAATGATGAATTGTAATCTCATAGTCTGAATCATTGAAAAAAATATTTATAGTATACTTTAAAATATTTTAAATTATAATATTTTTTGACATATTTCGTTAGAAGATTTATAAGATATTTTGAATTTGTGATGAAATTCTGCATTTAATGAATAATTAAAACTATATCTAAACCAACCATACTTCTTAAACTACTGTTAAAACCATATTATTATTTATGTCAGTGCTTACTATTGTATTTGTTCACTAACCAGTATCTACGACGGATAATCCTCTTATTTTTTGTAATCTGATTTCTAATAACTAATACCGGTGATATTTAATATTCTTATTCAAAAATAATCACTGTTCATTGCACAGGCAAATCTTCTTAGGCAACAGTTATGGATTATTTCAAACCTATTATTTTTAAAGTTTTAATAACTAACTAACTGATAAGCCACAGATCTGTTCAATTAAAATATATTGGTATCCAGATTAACATGTTTTTTTAGGAATGCGACATTTCAATGTCATTTAATATAACAATCTGTCATTGGGTTATTTATTCTATATCAAAAGTGTACCTATGGAATGTTTTTATGAAATTGTAGTTGAGTAAATTATTTCTCTTTTGCTTTTCTCCGCAATTAAAATGGAACAATTAATTTTGAATTTTCTTAACTTATAAGTCTTCAAGGAAAAAGAATATTCGTTAATATTATTATTTTTGTACTCGGAGAGCAACGGGGCTCAATATCTCAAACCCTAATTGATCACAAGGGCACCAACTTTTTTACATACCCAGTGCTAAGCTAAGGAGAACTGGTACCAACATGAATCACTATGGCAGGGGTGGGCACACCGCGGCTCGCGAGCCGCATGCAGCTCGCCAGACTTTTTGTGCGGCTCTTCTCGCTAACATAAATTATTATCCAAATTTTAACTAAGAGAAAAACTTTAATGTAAACTCTTTTTATTTATTAGAAGGCGTAAAGAAGTTTTCGTCAATAATTAGGACAAATTATGTTTTAGTATGAAAATCGCTGTAGCGTTGAATTTAAGTCAGTTGAGTCAGCAAATCTTTCGTCACAATGGTCAATGTTTATTGATGCGTCGGCGATATTGCAGCTCGATTGCGGTTAGTTAGTCTAAGTAAGTTACTGTGCGATGTGTCCAAAATTAAAAAAACGAAAATAAGAAGATGGAAACAGAGTTGTCAGAGTTGCCTTGTTTATCTATTTATTGTTATTAGACTCTTGTGTGAATTTCTTTTCTGTTCATAGTATTTTTCGATAATATTAATAAATTCACAAATTCTGCGGCTCTTTTAAAGTTCTGACTTGCAGCATGCGGCTCTTATACTAAGAAATTGTGCCCACCCCTGCACTATGGTCTGCGGTGGTGAACTAGATTTGTATTTTTATTTTAAATGATCAGATAATAAACTTCTGTTAATTAATGTTGTATATTGAGCATTACTCTCATGTTAATTTTGGTATGTTTTAAAGATATTAATCATTTTTGACAAGGTTGACATGTACGAGCGATTTATCATGGATGTTCAATGATGAAAAGCCCCGAGGCAATTAAAAACAGAAAAGTTGATACTCATTGACTCTTGTATATTGTAATCAGTTCTATATTTGTATTCTTCAAAATCTATGTCATCGCTACATATAAACATTCAATCGAATGACATGATTTGACCTTTTTTTAGCGAGGTTGACAATCAAAATTACTCGTACAGTCTGAATGATTTGATTTTTTTTCATATATTCGAAACGCTTTCATCCAGTTAGATATATTAAATTCCATTTGCATTAAATGCATTTGACATCAAAATATTAACTTATTTCATTGGCATAAACTATTAAAACAAATTTCAGTTTTTGTTACTGTATGTGCAAGAGTTCAGTACTGGAATCTTTTTAAAGTCTTGAAAACTTGTCAGTATTTTGGGATTCTGTAGTTTTGATAATTTCTCGTAGTAGTTTATAGACTATAGATCAGGAATGGGCACGGTTTTTGGATCAGGGGCCAAAAATTTTTTCCCACCTGGACTGGCAGGTCATGTAAGTATGACGTAGAGAGTTACATTTCATGAACAATGTTTACAGTGTTACAAAAGCAACAGTGGAAAACAATAAACCTTGTGCCAAAACTAAAATTAACCAATCTCAACAAATTCCTGGAGCTATGTTTATCTAAAACATCAAAATTTGATTTCAGTTCGGTCGTGGCAGCATCAGGTGGGCCGGATTGAGTTACCTAGCGGGCCAGATCGGACCAGTTTTATAGTTGTAAATGCATTTAACTAACATGGTCAGCAGGCTAGACTTTTTTCGATACTTTTTTGGAGCATTGTCTGAGAGGGCCACATAACTTGGCGTTTTCGTAAAATTCATACATACTTGGTACATGTTTTAAACTGTGTAAAAAGTATGGTACAAAATGTGACTTGTGTAGCAATGCATTGCAAGATTTTTTGCACCAAGTCATCAATTAGGTAATATACAGTATCCACATGAAGTATGAACATATAGGCACAATGGTAATACCAGTGCTGTGTCAGATGCCATTCATTGACACTCACTTTGGAAATTGGTGGAAAACCCCAATTTTGGTGAACTGCAAAATTGGCAAAATTTGGGTAATACAACGCATTCAGAGGAAATATAAATAGCCTTCTGGGAAACATTTCCGGAACTTCGAAGCAATTTATCCAACGGTTAAAGAAAATCCTTTTCTCTCACAACATCGATAACAAAGACATGAACCACAACCAATGCAGGAACACAATCCATAGGTCTAAATAAAATGACAAATAAATGACTTTAAACTCGTCTTTATTTCTTTTTCAGGTGTTCATTGTGAAAATCATATGCAGAGAGAAGCATTTGAATTTGCAATCAGACAAGCATGTGATGCAGAGGAACACTGTGGAATATCAGTTACAATGTCTGGAACGCAAGAAGAGGTTGTCTATATATCAGTTTTGCTCCTTATTTAGGAGTTCCCAATTTTTAAATGAAAAATTTTAAATTCATCAAATTCTCTAAAAAATATTTCACCCAATCAGAATAATTTTCAAAGTTATTAGATATGATATTTTTTGTTGGGACTTTATCTATGAACAAGGTTCTGTATATGCGGCCATTGATATGTAAGAAGTCCGAGTTTGTTGTTTGAAAAGACAGAATACTTTTTACTTTTACATATCCTACACAATTTTTTATTCTGTTGCGAGATAAAAATAGACTTTGTTTAAATTCTAAGGTCGTAAAAAATAGGAAATCAATTTCCTCTCCTCGGGATAAATATGAAAAACCTGTTCTAATATATTCGAAATTGTATTACCATATATCCTCCATGTGCGCCGAGTTTAAAACTCAAAAAAAAGTTGCCAAACTAAGGGGTCGTCGTCTTATGCGCCATAACTCTGACCTCACTAAAAATTCGGCTCTTACGCGCATAACTCTGATTGCACTCAAACGAAATGACATTATGCTAACATAATTCCAACAGCTCAGCTACAACTCGAACCACGCTTACACTGCGTTTTTTCATTCGTAGGGTCAGCTTATATATGTGAATTTTTATAAATTTACCATTTTAGGACCGTTTCCAGGTTGGCTTATATGGGAGATCAGCTTATATTCGAGGATACATGTTATTAGATTTTGGCAATCCCTGATACATCATATTTACAAGTTTCTGTGAATTATTCAGAAAATTGAAATGTCCATTAAATCGTTTGATTTTTGATTTTCAGATCACTGCTGACTTTATCACTGATTATCTTTCCAATGGTTGCAAAACAATGTTGCAAACTAAAGTCAAAGGTGACGTTATCAAGAAATATAAAATGTGGGATGCAATATCCAAACGATTAGCTGGATCTGTTGAGGTGTGAATATCCTTGCAATTGAATTTTCCCTTTTATTTGGTTGTTTGTCATTGTGACTTAGGTGCCATTCTATGATAGAAATTTAATGTCAAAATGTATTGTGAATATACTCAAATTTTACTGTAATTAGATCATGTTGACTATGGGATGTCGGTATCTTGTGAAAACTCAATCTCCTTTCTATGCTAGGCAATGTGTAAAGTAAGAAAAAAGTTATTCTGTTACAGGTATGGGCCGTTTATAAACCATGCTTTGAGATATTAATTTCTGAAACTCGGATAAAATATGAGTAATTCAGTTTGTTAGTTATTATTTCATTCAGGCTTTTTAAATGCGACTTTCTTATATATCTAACAATCTGCTACTGAATGTGAGTTAATTCGATGATGAGCCAGTCATGATCAGCTGATAATGAAATCTAAAATTTGTTTTGGCATTATTCCATTTAATGATAATATCGATCTTTCTCATTTTTATATTTTAGCCCTAATAACAAAAAACCTGTGACTATAACATGCTACCGTCATCATCAAATTTCTATTTTTATGCTTTATTTCAAAAAAGGTTTTAACTCATTTTCCTGGTTTGCCCTTTTGCAAACGAAATCATTATTTATAAAATTTATTATCGATATTCGGCAGTTTTTTCAATAGTGTCATAATTGCAGCATTGTGGAACAAACGCATTGTTAATTTTTGACCGAACATAATTAGAGTCCCACTTTGGTGTTCACTTTATTTTTTAAGTTTTGTTTGCTTTTCTACTCCTGTAAAGAACATAAAGTAGATTTGATCCGTGCATTTATTTTATATTTATAACCTTTGGAGTTTGGTCGCATTTTGGAATGATTTCATATTTTTGAAATATATTGCCTCACAATACAGCACAATTTATTTGTCTTTGTGAAAAATTTATTTGTCTTTGTGAAAAGACAAATAATTTGAGCACATTTCTAATAACATGGATGTCGCAACAGTTCGGTATTTCAGATGTCTTGTATTTAATTTGCTGTCAGTTAATTCCAAAAGAAAAACATAAAATATGTCAAGTTTTACTCTGTAAAAATTTTATTTATTTGCTAAATTAATCAAATTTTGCTGACTAACAACAACATTCATATTTGTTAAAACTAAATTTCTTTCAATGCAAGACAGAGCTTTGAATTTCTGTTAGGACAGGTTTTATTGAATCAGTTTGAAACAGGCCAATGAAAAATAAATTCTTGTATGATCTATATTGTGATAGTTTAATAGTGCATGCCAGCACTTTTTATTTGAGTAAACGATCCTTTTTCACATGGTTGATGTATACACACGTTTGGGAACATATTCTCAACAGAACATAACTTTTGTGCAAAGTGTCCTAGATACAATCATACAACAATGGGTACAATCATACACAAACAGAAGTCAGGATTTTGCATAAATTTCCTCTATTTTCTTAGGAGTAAGTAATTGAGAAATTGATTGGTTTTGTTTTTTTAGGGTCACCCTGTATTTTTTTGTACAATAGCATATTACCGGTACCAGCATTTCGCAACATTTTTAAAACAATTTTTTTGTATTAATAGATTTTTATAACTCATACATTTACAGAGCGTTGTTAAAGTTGACTATCCTCCTTTGGGACAGAAAGCAGAATCGGAAGCCGAAGCATTAAAATCACGAATGATGAGTTTGTTGCCACAAATTAATACAGTGTATGAAACGTTGTGCTCAGAAATAATAGGTAAAGCTTATATATACGTAAAGATAAATTAAACAGCTTGCGTATCATGGATAAAGAACAATTGACTTTTATTCAATTTAAAATCAAAGGATTTCTCATTTTTTTCCTTTTTGTAAGCATATTTTCATAAATAGAATCTTATTAGAAAATAATTTGTAATATCATGCTTGAACTACCATCTTTCATCAGTGATTGGATGATTTTTGATACTGTGAATCAGTGGCCGCATGTTATATATTTGTTATTTTTCCGGAAGCTTTTAATTTTTTTGCGTATTATATATTTGTATATGTTCATTTGAAATTGTGGTCAAAAATGGCTCGATGAATGTTTAATTAAAATTCTTAAAAGGTGTTATCATTGATTATTGAAAGGCCACTGATAAGTAAGGGGCTACTATTCTTGGAAGGACCAGTATCGGCATTGCTTTACTCAATTTATTACATCCAGGGTGAAGTGGTGGGCATTGAGTTTGAACTCGAGATGTGTAAGCTGTGATGCCAACACAGTTAGGACTAACACTTTAATCCCTTGGCCATGGCACGCGGCAGATTTCGTTTTTACATCCTTTGTTTTTTTATCCTAAATCTCTATTTATTTTCTTCTACAGCCAGCATGGATCCAAATTTTAATGATGATTTGGAGGCAAAAATTTTACCAAAAATTCCCGATCTTGTTACACGTATGGGAGATTCCGTAAGTTGATCTTTTGATTAAAATTTTCAATGAACTTCAATGGAAAAAAATAATTTATTGCACTGAAATTAGACTGTTTTAATAGAGTCTTTTGTTACTTTATTTAAGATGTCATTGTCGTTACGAGAGGTTCGAGATTTATTTATGTCGTTGATCGAAAGTGTTCAGCGCCAGACATTGAGTTCTCCTCAATTTGCGAATCATATCGATAGATTTTTTCTTGATCATCTTGACGTTGCCCCAAGGTAAATATTATAATTTTTTTTTAAATAAATTTTAATAAAAAAAGTATCATAGTAATAATAAAGAACTAAAGAATAATATCACAGCAAATACAACACAAAATTCCTCTTCAAGAACCAAAAAATTCTTCCCTAAGGGAATTAATAAATAGAAATGAATAAGGGCAGACACTTCTAATGTTTATCCATACGCTTATGTATGATATTGAATTTTGAACTAACGCGCCATAGTTAAGAAACACCAAGTGTAAAACAAATACATTAGAATTTAACATTTGTATATGAATCTTTGATTAGTAAATACCATCTGAAATATAACATTTGATTACAGAATACCAGTTATGATCAGGGGTAAATGTGTTCCATTGTCTCCTTTTGTTTGACTCCATAATGGCCATCACTGTTAGATGGAGAAAGTTTATTTGACGTGCACAGCAAATAAGGTTTTTGTGGATTTTCCCCACTATGGAAACACTTGACTCATGAAGTTTAAATCACAATAAAATAAATTATTTCCACAATGACTCACAACTTTTTATTTGTACTGATTGACACGCTTGGTATTGGAAAATTTTCAATTGTATGGTGAAATTTATTTTGTTGTTGGTTATTTTGATCTATATTTAATTAGCATGAATTTCGTTTTTTGCGTCTGATCGAAAAATTTTTGGTGGTTTGGAATTTTTTTTTCAAAAGGATAATGGTGCAACACAATAAAAATAAATCAAGCTTATGTTGTATGTTACGTTATGAATAAAACTGTGCTATTAAGTTACCTTAGTGAGGTACTCTGGTGTTTATTTGATGTTAATAAATTTTCAATTTCAAAAATTGTATCTTCTTTTTTATAACAGGAACCCAGAAATCATGACGAATGCATTCCAGACAGCCATTGGGAAGAAATCACTTTTTATGGTTCTGTTCGAAACATTTCCAAAAGTGGAATATACACAACATGAAGTTAAATTGTGTTTATTGTTACAAAAGGTATGACTGTTGTTTTTATATTCATTTATTATTTTTAAATGACGCTTACTTCATGCTTTTTTGCTCTGAGCAAGGCACTTTACAAATATCTGAGGAGCTAATATTTTTGGAAACCAAAGATTTGTAATCAACACAGTGAAGGTTGATATTATAACTGCTAGATCGGTTATTTTTTAACAGGGGTTCCCGGGCCCTCTATGATTTCACTAATACAGTCCATAGCTAAGAATAGTTTTCAACTCAAATCCCAGAGTCTGTATTAATATATGTATATTGGTTAAATATAATCAAATCCTATTCAGATTTGCCACTAATATTAAACTTGCTACACTTTTATTTTGCCAGTATTAGTTTTTCTTCATATATACTCATAGTTTATAATTCAGAAAATAAAAATAATTGAACTATTACACTGGGGTTCCCAGCTACTCTGGAATGTTTCATCCACCAAATAGGTTGAAGTAACACCATCACACCCACAAAATATAAATAAATAAAATTAAGGAGGCGAACATTTTGATCCTAACTATATCAGACATGTAACAATGTGTGAAATACCATATCCCTTTCTCTTTAGTTACCTATCATGCATAATTTATATCCTATATTTTGAAGAATCCATTATAAGTCTTGTTTTGCTGAGATTTTCCTTGATAAAATAGCCTTTTAGCGATGTCTATTTTAGGAAAAAGGTTTTTATTTTTCAGTTTATTTAACATAAATTATAATCTAAATTATGATTTTACAATGTGTTCTTAAAGTCCTGTATTGAATTGGGTGAAAAACTTTGATATGCTTCATTCAACTAATGGTGGACACATGAAGTTGTTAAATGGATTAATAAACTTAAATAAACACTGATTAAAATGTAACAAACCTTGTTGGGATTTATTGAGAACAACCGACCTCAGAACAAAATTTTGATTTTGATTGTTTAATGACTTTATGAGCACCGCTGTCCAATAGTTGGTATTCTTATTCTTGCCAATTTAGTTCTATAATTCTTTTCATAGTTCTTTGGTGTGGCAAAATCATTCATAATTGTTACATTTGTATTTTTTGAAAAGCAATATTGAATACAAATTTTCTGCAGAGTTTTGTTCAACTTTTTGATGTTAATGTAGATTTTGGGACTAGATTACTTTTTATACTCCCAAGTAACTGTTTTATAGACTTGCCGTGTACTGTCATTTACGACATATTTTCTACCTCCATTCCAAAGAAAGTTTTGCATTATTACCATTTTACAAAAGTTGCCACATTAAAACAAAATTAACTTTTGTCACATTTCGGGGTTTTAAAATAATCCCATTTTTGTAATAGTTTGATTCGAACAGCCAAACTTAAAAATGGACATAATGCAATACCTCTAAAATTGAAACTGAACAGCTACAGCTTTGAAACCCAGATATAAAGATGTTCCATAATGACAGGAATGTACTCCCGTAGTGTGTGTACCAGGTTAGGGTTAGGCCATAATTTTATTCCGATTTTCCTTATTTTTGTTCTATTACGAGTTCGGGGACTGTCCGTGTTAGCCAAGTGAATATACACCCTGCCCATAGGGTATCAGCCCCTTTACACAACTTGATGTAAAATAGGCGAACAAAATTAGTTACCTCCATATTGGTACACTTCTGAATTGTCGAAAGAAAATAAAGAAATCCCATTTTTTGGGAATTTAACATAAGCTACTTTGCTTTCACTGTGGTGTAATGTGCTGAATCTCTAAGTTTGTTAGATACAGAATTTTAGCTAGCCTAAAATCTAGGGTATACTAACAATAAGGAAAAAATTTTAATTGTAATTGTACAAATGTCAGTTATATATCGTAAATTGATGTTTGCTAAAGTTTCACAAACTAATTTATTTCCAGAGATTATTTTTTAAAGCAAACAGAGCTTTTGTTAATGATAATTAACTACCGCAATCGCTCACAACGTCACATAGCCTAGGGCAAATATCTCACTAAACAATTGCAAAGTTGTTAGAAATGATCTATTGTTAAAGTTAGCCTATCATTTCGTTGTTGGTTGGTCAATGCTTGGTTATGGATAAACTGCTGTGATACTGACATTTTGTCTGTAAATTACGGTTCCACATGTATTGATATATTTTATCATAGTACTATTTTTAACTTACCAAATCATGATGATTATGCTAATTATCATTGCAGCTTTTGCGCATAAAATGACACATAATATGCGGAATATTGCTGTTCAATTCATTCCCAAAATGTTCAAAAATAAAATGATTTAATACTTTTTTACATATTCATTTAACTGCCCAAATTCGTTCTTATGTTTTATTTGTACACGCTTTCAGGAGATGCATATAGAAATAAATACATGATGAGATAGTATTACATAAATCTAGGACATGATTTCAGCAAACCAACTTTGATTTGTTTTTATTATCATGAAGTTTTTAATGTTTTACTGCGTGCTTCAATTAGTTATTTTTAGATTTATGATGCTTCGTTCATGTCATGTTTTGTGAAGTATTGTGCACTTGATCATGGAATAGGTTTTATTTTTAAATTTTATATTTTTGAATTTGTAGATTATTCTATACATGTGGTGTTAATACCATAACTTTTGTAATTTGAGAGTATTTTTGGCATTTTCGTATGATATTTAAACATCCGAAATATTTTAGTTGGTATGGTAGCATGACATTACGAATTTTACTTCATTTAAAGCTGAGTTTCTTACCAAATGTCAAGTCATGCTTGTCTTTTACAATTTAATTTCAGATTATTTTTGTGATGAAATTTGCGTCATTATTGTGTGATATGTTACTATTTTCTTTAGTAAATCCAAATTGCACAGTCACATATCTATGAGGAATCGCCAAAAAATTTAGTTTAACCTAAAACTATTTGCTATTTTAGAACTCACCGAAACCTGCAATAATTACTAAAACTAGTAAAAGCCCACTAAAAAGACAAAAAAATGTATAAAAACTGCCAAAAAAAATTTTAGTTTGCCCAAACCTACTAAAACTTCCGAAACTCACTGGGGCATAAAAAAAATCTAAAACTTCCTATTTTTTGCATACAGAGAGTTAAAATAACTGTTCCATGTTTTTTTTACATAGCAAAATTGTGAATTATTTAATTATCTTGAAGTTAAATATTTTCAAACTGTGCCAAGTGCCAACGTAGTTTTGTCCAATATGCCGCAAATGACTAGTCCACCATAATCAAAAAAATACATGCCTCCAAAAATCTTTCACACATTCTTTACTTTTTCAGCTGCTGGATTCGGCGATTTGTACGTTTGAAATGTTATGTGGTGAATCTGTTGCAAAAAATGAAGGGAAATTACAGGCCTCGAGTATTGCCAAGATACAAGGAAGAGTTCTCAAGGTATATATATTAACCCAACCGATAAATGGCTGCACTAAATATGTTATATAGATAATCACATTTGTTTAATAACTATGCAAAGCAAGAGGTAGTGTTATGGAGCCCGTGAAGATATTTGACTATTATTTGCAGAGCCCAACGATAAATTTATAAAAAAAAAAATATTGTTACCTACCGATTAATGTTTCTGAGTAAATTAAAATGTAATGACTTGGAATCTTGGATGTATTTGCTGTTTCGTATTTAAAAAATATTCAGTAATTTAGTAAGTAGAACGAACAGCCCTTAAAGCCCCTAGGTTTCTCTCGCTAAGCCAAAAAGTGAACTTGGATATTTCCATGTCTAATCTGGACTGGTAGCTGCAGAAGAGACTGATGTGCTCCACCATATAATCAAACCTTTTTGTATAATTCCTTCTTTTTCAGGATAAATATTCAAAATTTTATCTTGAATTAGTCACCAACTTCGGACAATTCACTTTCTGCTAGGTCAATTTAAATTCATGCATATTTTTATATAGATTTGAAATAACGCCAGTGGTTCTTAGAGTATGCTCTGCAAGGTAATTCAGAGGATGATGCAAAATTTTAATCAATTCCTGGTGATTAGAACTTGACATGAAATGATCAAATCTGTTAAAAAGTACGATTTGATATATCAGACATTTAGCCATGTTTATGTGCACAAAAACCTTACATATATTATAAAACTTTTAATATTTTATGTCGCTTTTTCAAGCTTTTTGCTTCAATCACATAAGCAAACACTGTTATATAACGATTTGTAAGGATCCACTATTTCATGGAAGGCTCGGAATCTTTCCGGTTCGGCATTGTCTACCCAAATTATTTCACCTTGGTCCTTGGGTGAGAGGTCAGCGATATTTAAACCTGAGATGTGTGATGTTTTCACCACTGGCCCATCTTGTCGTCCATAGGCAAAATAAAATCTTTCATTTCAATACATTGTGATATGTATCACAAATAAAGGTAAATGTGTTGTGAATTTGGTAAATCTCGGAAACCCTTGCATATTACATTTTTCTAATTTTATTTTTCATTCAGAAACTCAATCATGACAATATCATACTCACAAAGAAATTCTTGAGAGGGGTAACATCCGATGTGACTTTTCGAATGCTTAGACATATGATATACCATGATTCGAGAAATGTAAGTACATCAGTAGTTCTCAACCTTTATTTATTCTCTTGTGGCCCATTTCCGGCATCAAAGGAAATCTTAGGCCCACAAGACTTTTAATACAGATTTTGAGTATCATTAAAGTGTTTTTCATGAATATAAAAATTAGTATAAGCGTTGATGACCAAACTAATCCTTGTATCTATTAATCAGCTTGTAAAGTTGAACTTTCAAACCTTGGATATAAATTTCAGCCATAGGCCCCCATTGAAAGGAAATCCAAGACCCATTTTTAAAATTCATATTGAGAATACCTATGCTACGTTGTTTCATATCAATTATTGTTCTGTTTTATATAAACTCAATGCAAAATTAATGCTATTTCATGAAGCGATTTTAAGAAATTATCCAATAGATAGATGTAAAGGTTTTTTGTATAAAACTCGTCGTTTTTATCGTGGAATATATATGTGACAAATTTTGGGGGAAATTGATCTCTAACCAATAATGATTTTTTTAAAAAAATTTCTTTCGAGCTCTTGTTTCTAATTTTTCACAGAAATTGCGAAATTTTGAAGATTTCATCCCTTCAGATATGATGTCTTTCATGCCGATTGCTAATATTTTCAAAGATGTAGTTACAGATCATATCAATGAACAAATTCAAATGCGTAAGCCTTAATATTTATGTTGATTCCTAAATATTCCAACAGTTATATCGCAATGTATCAATCTTATAATCGATTTGAATTTCTATTATTGTTATCATGAAAATTTCTTTTTTAACAAGATTTAACAACATTTTGGAAAATCTGGAATTTGATTTTATGAATTAATATAAAAGTATTCATTCTGTATCAAAGTAATTAAAAGAACTTTGATGTGCTTTGTTTAGCAATTTATGATTGCCATACATAGGTGTATCAAATGAACAGTGATTAAATTGTAACAAAGTGACTTAATAACAAAACATGAACGCCTGGAATTCGTATAAGTTGAGATTACTTATAACAAACTACTTATCCTTCCTATCTGCCTAGTACCGGTAGATCCGTCTGCATATAATGAATGCAAGGAGGGTGCAGCGAGAATAAAGATGACAATTCTATGTAATTCACAAGTTGGACAGACTAAATATTTCTGAAAAAATATTATTTTGTTAATGTGTAGCACGACTTTTCAATCACCTAAAACAAATATTGTTTCTAAACTTCTGGTATTGTATTTGGTATTATTCAAGAGTTCTCATTTCCCGCTATCATTTTCAGAAAATTTATAAAATTATATCCTTGATATCTTTTCAGCCTTGGCAGCAGCATTCAAGCGTCTTGCAAACGATCACTTCAATATGACGAGTTATCATTCGAATTCTACTATCAATTCACATTCTTCCAACACATCGGACGAGCTACATTCTGTATTGAAAAGAGAGTGAGTAAAATGTTTTTTGGCATAGACTTGTGTAACTAGGTGGCTATCAGAATTTTGAATTTTTCATAAGTTTCACCTTTTAAGTGATTTGAGTATACCTGATACATGTTGTTCAGCATCTACGAAGGCAATAAAAACTACAAAACGTAACCTCAAAGAAATTGAAAATTAAAGATCAGATAAAGATGTGACTTTTCCGAAAGGCTGCCCAGGGCAGTTAAGTAGAAAAAATGGGAGAAAATTAGGAAAAGAGACACAAACGGAATAACCACCCGGGCTGTTATATGGCATTTATATATTGCTTTGAGTTGCTCCTGCTGAATAACTTTTTTAATCATGCGTCTCGAATATATGCTATCTAGCTTCTCCATGCTAAATAGTCACGTCACATAAACAGAGATTTCTCTTCATGCCTTGACTCGCCTCTCATTTTTGCTGTGAAATTGTAGTTTTGGTGTACTCTGGGGATGGAGCTTGACTTATTGATTTTGATTCATAAAGCACATTAAGGCACAAAAAGAGTTAAATGTTCACTTTATATAAACACCCACCTAAAAGGGCGCTCCAGATGTATATGTACCAATATGGAGATAACTAATTTTGTTCGCCTATTTTACATCAAGTTGTTTCAAGGGACTGACGAGTGACAACACCTTGCAGGGGGTACATTCACTTCGCTAACAGACAGTTCCCAAACTCGTAATTGAACTAACATAAGGAAAATCGTAATAAAATTATGTCTAACCCTAACCTGGAACACACACTATGGGTGTACCCTAAAAGACTAGGCGCCCATGGGTGACTTTGTGCAAAACCCCTGTACTTCCTGTAAAAGCTCTAGTTGGGGTGATGGGGGAGAATAAACTTATTAAAGCTTGAATGACCAAAGTTTTAATATTTTTTTCATTTCATTTAAAGAACATCATCGTGTTCTACTGTTTCTCTGCAATCCAGCCCTACAAACAAATCTGCTCCTGTTGTATTGCCATCAGCAGAGGCCAAAGTCACAAACGAAAGTGAAGAAGTTCAGGAAATTACACAAGGTATAGTACCCAATGGAAAATATTAAAATATTATTAGCAAGACAGATATTCGATTCTTCATCAATGGTTAATTCATTATCAAGTACTCTCGCTTATGAATACAAATTGAGAGCTCGAAACCTTTCTTTTGCATAAAAAAGATATTAAATCGAGTAGTATGCTAAATTTCGAAAACATTGGACTTCACAGCCCTGGATTTAATACCTGAGAATAATATAGAACACTCGTTTCCAACCTTTTTCGATAACTAATCTCTTTTCCTGATTTAGAACATTGGAGAAGGATTCCCTCTCAGGTTGAGAATCACTGATATAGATTATAAAATTTTGAACTTTCAAACTTTTGAAAAATAATTTTCTTTTAAAATTTAATTCGCACGATATTCATAATTTATATATTCATTTTTTCACAGAATCTGAACTACTGAAAGATCCTTGCGAAGGAGTCCAAATGGACGGTGAAACAGGAGAATATGCAGTTGATGAATATGGAGAACCTATTATGGCTGGACCTTGCTCTGAAACAAAAGAGTCTACCCCTAATACAGAAATCTCGGACATCGATCTCAATCCAGATCTTGGAGATTCAGAGACTGTAACAGACGTTGAGAACAATAATAAGGACATGAATATTAAAAAGGAACCTGATTTACAAAATGAACCTTCACTACAAGAAATGCCGAATTCAGATAATTTGAGCCCGGAATTAGGATCTCAGGAAGATAATATCGTAAAGGAATCGTGTGATATTGTTAATCAAAATCTCGATCCAGAAATGGGAGTGAACATGAGTAATTCAGAAAAGAAAGCGGAATCTGATGATTACGTATCTGACATAACCAAAGAAAGCGAAGAAAAAGAAAGTGTGGAAACTAAGAAAAATATTGAGAATGTTAATGACACTCAAGCTCGTGAGGAGAATGCTCAAGAACAACATAAATCGAAGGAAGAGGACTTTGGTGAAACTGAAAAGAATGAGAAAATAGAAGAATCGAATAGCATCAAAAATCACACTGAAAATACTCCTGAAGCAGTGAAAGAAGATGATAATTCTCAAGATGAGGAGATGCCTGAAGATGAGCTAAATACGTCAGAAAATGCAGATATTATAAACCAGGAGAAACATGTTGAAGAAAATGTGCATGATGTAAAACCAGACCCTGAAACAGGCGGCCAAGACGTATATATTGATTCGGAGCAAAAGAAAATTACAGAAATTAGTGAGACAACATCGAATGAAAATAAAGTTGAAGAAAAAGTGGAAACAAATCGAAATTCCTCAATTTCTGATGAAAATGCTATATCCACTCACGAAGAGGAGATTAAAAATCATATTGACAACAAAATAGTAGAAGACACAGCTGACGAATTGAACAACTCTGTTCATCAAAACGGTGACGTAATACTCAACGAACAACTCGTTTCAACTCAAAATGAGCAGGATACTTTACCACCAGTTGCCCCAGCGAGAAAAAAGAAACACAGCACTGAGACGGAAGATAAAAAAGCACTGGTAATTAACAATGGTGAACATGGTGACAATAAAATCGATCTCGTGCAACAGCAATCATGTATAATTGATGAGGATCTCGAAAAATATAACGGTGTTGTTGAACAAATTATTCACACAGGAGAAGAGAAACTTATATAGATATTGAGAATAAATTTGAAAACTATTTCTGTTCATTAAGGTAATGTCATTATATAAATATATATATATATATATATGAGGCCAAATTTTGGCCAAATTTATGCGGTTTTCATTTAAAATGCAGGTAATTTGAACATTCTCAGAAAACAGGTGAAGTGTTTTTCTCCTGCTTCTATTTGTACATATTAAAAAAGCTTGTTTTTGAGTTATTCGTTATATTTCTTTTTCTAGCGTTAGTTATTTTTACCACAATTTAATACATTTTTTTTTCATCAATAATAATAAGTTTGCAATATAGTTTCACACCAATTGATTCATATTTCTTTCAGAGCGTAATTTGTAATAGTACCGGTAAGTCATTTTGTTGCAATATTTTCGGTACAAAACGGATTTTTCATGTGAATGCAATTCTTGATAGAAACGATTATGGGTATTTATAGTTTTATTTCAATAGATTTACCCCAAAAATATACTTGTGCTAATTTACAATCCAGAATTCCAAAAACGTAGATGTAATTTGTATTGGGGAGTTTCTTGAAATTTAATAATTTTTTCAAAATGATTTCGGCATTGAAATCATTGATTTCGTACGCCAACGGTTTCCAACCATGGGCTCATGGGAGCAGTTAGATGGGGGCCACCAATGCTAGGCGCAAAACTGATTTTACTTTTCCCTTTACAAGAAAACAAAGTGTTTTACAAAGTGTTTTAAACTTTTTGAGCATGAATAGTTTGAACATACAGGGATTTGGAATTTAACAATCAAATTAACACTTCAAGTCCCACTGGAATGATGTATAGGGGGGTAGAGAAGCCTCTGGTAGTGGCCATGAAATTTGACAGCATATGTGTAGTTTATGTGTATTATGTGTAGTTTTTAATGACTTTTTCAATAACTAGTTTTCAGCGGTATATTTTTGTATGTGAAATTTCCACACGCCAGTAAATTAAATATATATCAATTTTTAATAAGCACAAACATTTTACAAATTTCACCTTGTTTTAGATATAACAGTGTGCACGCATTAATTTGGGTAAAATTATACAGTATTCATTTTTTGTATAAATGAAACAAAACTTGCCATTTTTAATTAAAATTAATTGTTATTATTATTCTTCCTTTGTATTTTAAGTATTGTGTATATTTTATATTTAGATTCATGACTCTGCCTTTAGTATTTTGTTTTGACAATAACTGGAACAAATTGGGATTGGGGGGGGGGGGGGGGGGGTGATAACCCAGTAGTTATAGCGTTGGACTGGTTCCCTACTTTGTTGTCGTGGGCAACTTGGACAAAAAATTGTGGCCCATTATCGGTAACTGTCTCATGCAAGGTAAAACTATGAGAAAAACAAGGAATTTTTTTTCGCGAAGATAAACACTTCAAATAATTAAATTGAGAATTACAACTCAGAGCCAAAAAGCAGCAGCATCATTCAAAGTTTCAATCAAAGTTTAACTAATTTATCACTAAATCTGGCAATTTTTAATAGGCTCATGGTCCACATGAAAAGATTCTCGACCAGAATTCTCCAAGATGTGGATTGTTCTGGTTGAGAATCAAAAACAACCACAAAATACGTTTTACTTCATTTATGTCTTAATTATCAATCAATGTTTTCAGGTTCAATACCCACCCATTCACCTTTTTTTCTTCGTTATATTTATTCCTGGTCTTCTTACCAAACTTAGTACGAAGTGCAAAAGAATTGTATCCGTCCTCATGCAATGCTGCCTTTTCCAACATTATTTTTTACTAAGCAGAGTTTACAGTATAATTTAGTACTTATTCCATCCCGAGTACAGTAGATTAATTATTATTTTTTTGTTCCCTTTCATTTTTATTCAGTTTTGTTGCTTTTTTGTAAAATGGAGGCAATTTCCATTGCTGATAGAGTTATTACACGTAAGAAATATTTTTAATTCCTGAACAAAACAATATTCAGAATAATTGCAATTTGAAACTCACAGATAAATTTTTGATATTCATTAAAAACACATGACAATCCAGTTATGAGTAAGATGAAACTGTTTCTGACATGTTCGTTCAATGTACATTACCTTACCTACCTTGGTACAAAATTTCTCAACGCTTCACTAATTTTGATCTATTTTGACTGTTGAAATAATTGCGTTTGTATTATACCTTTGCTAGAACCCAGTGTGAATGTATATTCGCACTTCAACGGCAGGTCGACACCACAAGACTAGGTATACATATCAGCCCCTCCTAACTCTCGTGATTATGGCACATATGTTTTCTAATATTGATAACTGATTGAAGTGATGCTTCTGCCCACTTCCAGTGTATCTTGCCTTGTCATAGATTTCGCTCTCTGCGGCCTAATTTCATGTGATCCTTTACATAGTCATTGTGAACTTTCTTAAAAATTCTATATTTAGGACAATGCATTTCTGTGACGTAGGGCGTCATCAACCCCATTTTTGGTGATTGTTTCTTTTTATCTATCTTAATGCAGTATGATAACCGATAACCTCGCAACTCTCACATTACCATGTCAATCAGTGACGTGTTTTAGCATCGTCTTTACCCTTGTGTACATACATCTACATAATTTGGAAAATGTGTACACAGCTTGGAGTTGGATATAACCAATTATGGTCATTCCGCCCTTCTGGGTGTTGAAAATTTTGCTGTAAAAGTATGTATTTAATGGTTGTTTATTATGTTGAAGGTGTTAACGGCTTTGATGACAACTTTAAGGCCTCCGCCATTGGTTAGTCTTCTCAAAACGGATTCTATGAGTTAGCTGTGAATTGTCTCTTATTTTGGTTCTCGGTAAACTTAATATTTTTAGTGTTGTAATTTGGTATAATATCATTTTATATTTCCTGTGTCACCATCACCATGACTCAACCTGTTAACGATGAGACAGCATATTTATTTTTACACTATTTCACAAGATAATTGCTTTTTCACCATGTAAGACATTTTAACTGTTAAAGATCTTAGTATTTTCATGGTGTATGCGCGGCCATTACGATGCTATCTTAGAAACATGGAATGCGTCTACTTTCTAAAATAAAAACATTATAAACGGGAGTTATCTGGTTTAAAATGTATTTCTCGTTCAGTGGTGTTCCGACCACCTCAGTCAGTCACTCGTTATAATTTTATCCCAGGGAAAAAAAAATCTTTATCGAAGAGATTACTATTATTTTGTTCCTTATGAATCATACACTCGATCCCTAACCACCACCGATAAAGCCGATTTTCCTTCTTCATGGTCTTGCTGCTCTTGTGATCGGACGATGGAATAAATAAATACAATTTTTGTACAGCGTTGTTTGTTTTCTCATGCCATATTATTACGTTTCATTTTTTGTTCTCGACTTGTTCAATAAATAATGTTAATTGAAATAAAAAAAATGTACAAAAATGTATTTCTGTGCCGTTATATCGTTACAAAGGAAAAGTAGTCCGTTAGACGCTACTCCAATCAACTACATTTGATTTGGTCCAGAAACGATATTTATTGGAATATGGCTAAAAATATAATCCATGTGATTTGTGAATCTATTTGCTATTTGCTGGTTCGTTTAATAGTCCTATTGTGGAAAGACTGATGATCGCAATTGGTTCTCGCTGGGCGCTGCATGACGATAAAATTGCATCACCGACATCTATTTGTCTTTAGTTCTAGATTTAAGAATGCACCTTCAAGTTGAATTTAGCCAATCCCTCTTTGCTGCTGTAGGAACAAAATGAAGTCTGCAAATACACGACTTATGACGTCAGTTTATATTTATGTTGGGAGTTTCCCCACTTAAAGCGACTATTTTGAAGTATAGACACAGTAAAATTGTATTTTTATTTTTTTCTACAAATTATAGATTTCAATCATTCTATTGTCATTCAAAATCAGCCTTGTAAAGCAGAATACACATACATACCACTGGCTTATTAATCGTAATATTTTACTCCGGGCAGCACGCAGAGCATCTCAAACAAAAGGTTCGCGCCCGTAAGCGCTGTGGTACCTGTTAAAGAAGGAAGCCGTTATGAACTTTCGTGAGAAAGTGTTGGAAAAAATGATAGCAGACCTACTACATTTTGATACGCTTGAAAAAAGACTCGGGCTTGTTTTGCACTTGAAATCCGTTACTCCCGTAGTGTATGTACCAGTACCAGTTAAGGATTAGGCTATAATTTTTTTCCGATTTTCCTTATATTATTAGTTCTATTACGAGTTCGTGGACTGTCTGTGTTAGCCATGTGAATACAAACCCTGCCCATAGGTTTCAGTCCCTTTATACAACTATATGTAAAGCAGGCAAACAAAATTAGTTACCTCTATAGTGGTACATATATTCTGGAGCGCCGGAAATTCAATATTAGGGGTTGTAAAATGGATAAACATCAATGCAAATAATAATCCACAAGTTTCATGTAAATATAAATAAATACCCGTCGTGTCATATGGCGGAGAAACCTCGACTAGATCTCCGCCCACAATATTGAGTCCCCGGCATCCTTGAATAATTTCCATTCCTTGAAATGAAGTCAGGCCACCTATCTCTGGAGTTCCAGTACCGGGTGCATAACATGGATCCAGTCCATCGATGTCAAAACTGAAAAGTTTGCAAAAACAAGTTTCCTTGAATAGAGCAGAAAGTTGTCGTTTTCAAGACAATCACTAGAACAGGGGTCATCAACGCGTCGCCCGCGGGCACCAAGTCGCCCGTAAAGACTACCGTACGTGTGTCGCCCGCAGATCTGTTCCGAAATGAGCTCAATAACGGAGCTTGATATGAGTGAGCTACATCAATTAATTTTACTCCTGCTATTCTTGTATAAATCATACTTATATGGGAACTGTAAATGACACTTTAATTATTGTAACGATTAACCTGATTTGTATTTGACCTCCTGATTTGTAATGTGGCGGGTCATTTAATCGGTTCCAATTACGACATCACACACATGTCTCCTCCCACGAACTCGCGATTTTTCTCGCCCGTTGATTTGTGGAGCAGCAATGATACAATTATTAAACCCAAAGAATGAGGACAGGAAAACGAAAGAAAACCTACCATTTTCGCGATGAATGGGAGGTGGAGTTTTTTGTCACCGTGAAAACAGCCTGCGTGTGTCTCATTTGCGGGGTGATTGTAGCGACGGCAAAGCTGCACATTGTGGAGAGTCATTTCACATCTTGTCACACAGTCTATCACGCTAACTATCCACTAGTCAGTGCACTAGGAGCAGAAAAAGCTTGTGATTTAAAGTAAACAGCAAACCTATTTTACGAGACCAGTGTTTGGTTCAACCTATCTTCGTGAACCAACATTTTTTGACATGAACTTAACCAAGAACAAATACGGAACACGCCCCACTGATGAAAATCTGCAGCACTCGCTCAGTGTCAAGTTACACGGTACAGCACACTGGGGAGAGCATGCAAAGTTTACCACTAACCGACGAGGAAATAGACTAGATTTGTTTGATTCTGGTTTGCTCTTGATTGAAAATAAGATATTCGTAATTTGTTGAATGTAACATTTGATAGTACAACTGTTAAGTCCATTTTATCTCGTGCAGGGTGTTTGTAATAAATGCAGGGACGTTGTGGTTTCCTAAGATATTATAGTAGTGATCCTTTTAAAATCAATTTGAAAAACCTTCAATTCGGAAATGTGTCATTGATAGTAATTTATTTGCTGTGTTGTAATAATCGTTTATAATTTCCTAAAAATCTCAAACTTTATCAGTGTCTCTACTTGACTAAATATCCGTAATTATTAATAGTATAAGCTTAATTGAGCAAATTGACTTTGTGCATTGAACTGGTAGCCCTCAACTTAATCGGTACACAGAAAATAGCCTTCGGCTTCAGAAAGTTGGTGACCCCTGCACTAGGATATGTCATGTGTGGGTGAATATGCTTAGCTGCATAGTCCCATACATTCGACACCATACAAAAAACTTTGTGGACCTTTTTATTCTATTATTTCTTTTAGGAACTTTTCAAGAAAATGAATATTGACTATATAATTGAGCCCCCGTATCGCTTGTCAGCCACCAAATAAAATATATATAGATGATAAAACAGCTGATCCGTCATGTACGCCATTTTTTGTTATTCTAGAGACGCGGAGCTTGGAAAATCGAACGAAAGCATGCGACGCCGTTTCGCAAGCACATTTGCAAGCACTCTGCCTGACAAGGGAAACAATCTCCAAGCTTACATATTTCAACTGCGATATTTACATTCAAATAATATACTACATCCACGTTCAATCGATCAGTTGTTTAGCAAGAATTCGTGGGTAGTCCACAAAAATGAACAAGCTGTACCTAAGGTTCATGATGATCGAAAACTCACCTAATATATGTTGGTGTATCACCAATGGTTTCACGAACTTCCGCCATCAAAGGCGCCATCGATTTGAACCAGCATTCTTTGGCGGTAACAACTCTAAAACCCTATTGAAAGACATACCTAGAAGTTAAAATACTACGCTATTTCCTGAACAGAATGTTTATGTATCTTCATGTCGCCAATTTTATACGTTCATCAAATTGAGCTACGTTTTTGACACACCAAATGCCTGTATAAATGGCGATAATCACATATTACAGTAAGATGAAAACCTCCTCCAAATTTTGGAATGGCTACGCTCTTGTTCTGGACCTCTTTCGTCAACAAGTCAACAAAGATGTCAATTACATTTATTATAGGAAAAAATAAGTGTAAAATCACCTTTTCTATCTGGTAAGCATGCTCATTGACAGCATTCCCTGCGGATCCACGAAGACCGATTTGTACAACCTTTTTGCAGTCTAAAAGATTTTCTTCGATCGCTCGTCGAAAAGGTGTCCCATGAGTAATTTTTTCTCCGCTGTAAGCATCTCCTACATCGGAATGAGCGTCGATGTGAACCATTGCAACAGGGCCATACCTTCAAAATGAATGGAACATGGAACAAAATATTCAAAATTAAGAATTTTTTATAGCGTAACTCAAATTCCCCCGGCAAAAAATACACAATGCTGGGTGTTATCTCCTCTTCTGTTTTTCCTTATCATTATATTGTTATACATTCCCGGATATAGTTTGAAGCAAAAATTTCTGCTCATTGACTACCCACGGACCCACAACAATTGATTGCAAATATTATTTTAAGCAATTCTGAATACTCAAAATAAATACTCACTTAGAAGCCATCGCTTGTAAGATCGGATAAGATATTGTGTGATCTCCCCCTGAAAAAAGAAACGATAAAAATGATTTAAATAAATCTATTAAAGATCACAAGAGATTTTTGTTTGTTTTAAAAGTACCTAACGTCAGAGGTATGCATCCATCTTTGATAATTTGTTTATATTTTTCTCTGATCATATCGCAACAGGCTTTCAAATTATATAGATTTACTTTTACGTCGCCGACATCCGCAACCTGCAAAATATTACAATATTATCAATGGTGATTCAATAGTTCTGCTGCACACTAACACGGATGTATTTCTGTAACGTTTCGTCTGACCAAAGTCCGACTTCCTCAGACAAACATTTATCAAACTGCAACAATGGAGAAACAGGAAGGCGTCTAAAATATCGGGTCACAGAACATATTACGTGTATTAAATCGAAAAACAAAAACGTCGGTGCTCACTTCAACCAACCTAGAATTCACTGAAGAACTTTAGCGTAATATGAATTTAAAAACTATTTCAAGACCATATCTACCGAAAAATGATACAGAAATATATTTGTGTTAGTGTGCAGCAAGACTATTGAATCACTATAGGATAGTTATCTTCACTCTTGAAGTAACCTTGAATTATATGCATACGGATCCACCGGCACGAAAGCATAGAAGACAGATAAGTCTCGTAGAAACCCAATCAATAGCCCAAGTATCAATGGTACCATAAATTTGTATATGAACTGAAAACGGGCCCAATTCAAAATTTACTGGCATACAAATTTGGTTGAAAATGTATGCGTCGTTTTTTTTTCATCCAGAACCCGGTGTTTTAACAATTATATATATATACTAATTATCTTACCCGAAGAGATGAAAATGGATCTGCGCCCGTTTCACTGTTGTATTTTCTGATAATTGCAGACTCTATTCTGATATATCGTGGGCCGAATCTAAACCCAATAATAATTGATTTGGACAATGAAGCAGAAATAAAATTTGAGTAGGTTGTCATGAATCAGAAAATATTATTAAATCGTATATTATATATATATGTTGCATTAAGTCAGACGAACCAAAACATGGAGAAAAATGGATAGACCCAAACTCCCAGGTGGGACAAGTGAGGCGAGTGGGACACGTGGGGCACGTTGGACACGTGCGACAAGTGGTACACGACATTTTTGAGACACCTCATGAATTTCATTGAAAACGAGCACAAATAAAACAGGTGGCGTAGTATGCATAACCGGAAAACCCATATGACTCGATATGTATATCACCTGACTGCATATGCATATATGATGTAACGTTACCATGAAAAAGCATATTAGGTTCTTATTTCTATAACTTTGTATCAGATATTGTACATATGAATTGACAAACAACTAACCGAATTAATATGGTGTCTTTATACACAATGCTGTTACTACTAACCTCGTTCCAGATCTATTTGTTGTTCCTATGTCAATCGGGATTCCGATAAAACAAGCATCAAGTTCATCTGTATTTTCAACTACTGGTAATCGCATCATGCTAGCAATACCTTTAGCAAAATAATCATTATGTGCATGCGTGTATGACTGTTTATACTCTAAAGGAAGATGAAGACCTTACCTCCAGGTCGAGCCATGTCGCTCGCCGATGGGGGTTCGTTAAATTTTTCATTTCGCATTCCTAATGACAAGTATCGAACATTGTTGGATTTTATTTTTGTTGCTTTCAACAAGTGTTCACATATTTTCATACCTATAAAATAGTCATTTTATGGATGCTGTTAGTAGAATATAACCATATCGTTCTTTGTATATATAATACCACATACACATTTGCTAAGATCATTGTATTTATGTAGAAAGGCTATCATTCATGGCAATGCAATACCATAGCCGTTGACGACAGCACAGGCTTTGTTATTGTCATAACATAATTGTTCTCATCAAAAAAATATATGCCAAAACAATGGGTATTTAAATTGATACTTACTGCCAATTCGAATTCTTGTATTCCTCAGAAGCATACTTCAACAATGTTCCTGACACAAGCTAGTAAATTAACAACCTAATAATAAAAACATGAAGGACTAAGACTAAGCGAAAACCGAGTGTCAGAAAAACACAAAGCGGCGAAGAGGATAACTTTCCGACTGTATTGGTTTTCTCTTGTGTTACTACTATTTTGCTTAGTTTTTCGACGAATAACCCTGTTTTCCAATCCCATACTCACGATTCTTTCCTAAACCAACCGTTTCTGACATCTACGTGAAACTAAACATTCGCGTCCGTCTATTCTAAAGCTAAAAATTGTGTGCGCGACAATGATTACATAATCGTCCGCGTGCAAACACTTGGTTTGCCACTTGCAGAGCAGAATGTGTTCACAAGAAACCGCAACCTGCTGAAGTATGTTTCAACTCACATTATCCTTCAACCTTGTTTACCTATGCAATATCAGGAATGCTGTACGTCGTCGCCCTTAAACCGGGTGTATAGCGCACGCCAAAGTGTAAAAAGGGAGCGATGCTCAAATGTAGGGACACGGAAACCAAAAACAATGTAGTTCGGGTATGCAATCTGTCACAGTAGACTACCGGTACCGCAGTCTTTATGACTTCGCTTCACCATTAACACGAACGTGAAACCGCCACAAGTTGCGTAGTTTACAATTTTGATGACATCATTGCATAAATATGCTACTGAAGCTTAACGGTCGCAGTTACATATCATTTGCATTCGTATTATATGATATCCCGTTGGAGAGATAATAATCCCATCTGCCAAGCTTATGTTACTGCGAACATTTAAATGCTGTTACCCGCTTTTATTTTAGAATTGTGTTGTAGCGAATGTGGCATATAACTGAGGATTTCTATGTCATTAAACCCCTTCGTATTAATAGCATGTTGAATTCAATGAATTCTCTTGTGTAGAGCTCTCTTTGTATCGACCTATCTGTGACGCGTTGTCGGCCTCCATTCGAGAGTTATAGTGCTTTTATTCTAGTCGCTCAGATTGTCTAGTATTTGAAACTTTCTGTTGAAATTTTTCTGTAAAAAACATAGCAATTTTTCGTAGATTGAAACGCTTCGAGACCTTCAGGAATCTTGAAACTTTCGGCCTTCGGCCGGACCCGATAGCTGCTGCGACCTGACTTGACAATTCGAAATTTCATAACCTGATACAGCACTCGTATTTGCCAAAATATATAGAAAAGTTGTTACGAACAGAGGCTCAACATTTTTCGATGCTGTAGTTAGTGTAGTTATAGCCAAAAACGTAACTTCTGGCTACTGTTTGTTGGTTTGTTAGAGACGAATACCACTCTAACGGCTGCACCGATCCCCCAGTCTGAACGACACACGTTAACGATGCAAAGGCTTTATTGCCGAAGAGATATGATCCGGATAGGATAATTAAACCAGTGAATAGTGATCTTATATAGAAAATAAGCATGTAAAGAAATGTCCGAATCGAGTGTGGTACAAAGACGAATTGTATTAAAACTGATTCATTGTGATATGGCTTGGGGTTATTTAAATTAATTATGTCCAGTTACAGAACTTGTTTTGGTGGTCTATAACTTTAAGAAATTCTGAATTATCTGGTTTTACGACGATTCCTATTATTACTTTGAAAAAAAATATAAAATCTAACTAAAATAACAAGGTTATCCCTATATAGTAAATGACACTGGCTGCAATCTTACTTCTCACAGTGACTCTTGGCGCAGAGCCACTCAATTGTGAAGCGCGGGCTCTGCCCACATGGTTGTACGGATAGATCAACACCAAATACTCTTGACGTCGACGACAAAAGTTCACCTGCACTCCTGCAGTATGCGGTTCACTGACGTCACTTCTACAAACTTATTGTGGTGTATTGATACGATATTCGATAAATATATTCCTAGCACCAACTATATATTGTCCATAGCAAAATGAACTAGCTGTACTATTGGCGGTTACATTACAAGAGACCCATGTATCGGCTATTTTTTCGATATCGGTATTTGAATAGGTATCGGCTAAAATAAACCGGTATGTCCGACATATTCAGTTCTTTGTTCTGATCTAGAAATTTTAAAAAGTATAAGTTTGCATACGGTTGTTTAAAACTTTAAATCATTTATTGCGCGGGGGGGATTATGTTTGCAGCATCTACTGCCTCGTTAACGCTGAGTCATGCCCGTCCCCAAGCTTGCGAACAGGAATTATGATGTCACATCTTCTGGTGCCATGGCGTTTTATTACAAGTGTAAACCTTTTTGAAGTTTTCATACTCAAGCTATTGCCAAATATGTATATATATGTACTTACTTATAACTAGGGCTGGGCATTTCGAATCGAATATTCGGACCGAATCGAATCGTAAATTATTCGAATCGGTTAAGAGCAAATTTTCGAATCGCCGCCATCTTGTTTTACCCTTTTCGTCAATGGTCGAGGTAAATTTCTCAATTTTTTTTTATTGAAAACATATTTTTCCAACACAATTCTGACATATGACTCTTTTCTGCATTGAGGTATTGATGAAAACTTTTTTTTTTATTGTCAGTGATGTAGTCTATGTTTTCAGTAATTTATGTGTCTGTAGGACCTAAAATGATAAGAAAGTTACATACATTATCATACCTTCCAAGTATTCGAGATTCGATTCGATTCGAAAAAATTATTCGATTCGATTCTGAAATCATCAGGTATTCGAAAATGCCCAGCCCTACTTATAACCACAATTTTGTAGGTAACGCAGATTTTACACTTTTTCTTGCACGTTTATAGCTATTTATCATTCCATCTATTGCTACTAAATCAGGTATTTTTGCTTATTAACGTTCTGAACAAAACATAATAATTACGAAGAAAAATACCAATAAAATATTACAGTGGATTTTACCGCTAGGTACAAAATATGACATCACAATGTCACGAAATTCGCCCTACGCCTCTCTATGTATCGGTTTAAATAGAATGGGTAAACATTTATGTATTCACTATATGTAGTACCCAACCCGCCATGAGCTTTCTTATCGAACACCGCGATTCCTAGCGCCTATGCACAACGAAACGTCTACAGAAATTACCATAATTTACTTAATGAAAGTGCTGAGTCCCATGCTCACATAGCCTATGACTAAATTACAAAGCAATCTACGAAATCTATTTTAATAAACCGTTAGTAGTAGTCAAGTGACGTCACTTATGGATCTGAATCTTAGATATGAATTTTTCATGTTCTGGAATACCCGTTCTTCGATCTGAAATGATGATAACTGTATATATATAGTTCGCATACAACTATTTTATCTCGACGTCTCTTGCACTCTAGTAGCCTACCTGTCTGTTAATTACGTATTATCCAAATATCGGTATCTGGATAACGGCAATGTCATTTTTTTGGATATCGGCTTTTTTCGTTGGTGAAGCTTCGGTCGTTGGTACATCTCTACTTGTTACATTCATCTACTGATTTTACTGCGACATTGCTAGCATTCAGTAGGGCTTCAATTTTCATTCTTCAAAGGTTTTTAACACTGCCGGTTCCCACACTGTCTACCCTTGACACAATTGAAATGATCAATCGTTTTTATTTTTTGATTTTGCGTTACTACTGTACATGTAACATAACTTTGCATCACTATTAGTACTCTGCTCTATGTAACTGGCAGCGAGCTTTCTGCTTTCCGCAGTGAAGTCAAGCTTCCTTCCTGCGGAAGCATCATAAAGCTGTCAGCTCCAAACTGAAGCAATTTGATCAAACTGCCATGTCAATTTCTGCTCAAACCGACTGAAGAAGTTTGATCAAATTAAAGAATTATTTGAATGTATATGTCAAACACGTATCTAGGCACAAGGTCACTGTCAACAGTAGTTTAAAACATATACTAGCATTTGTAGCAAGTTGCCCTGACAACTAACTTAAAATGATGTTCGTGATATTGGTTGAAAAACTAACATCGTTTTACATACAAATAAAAGTTGAATATTTCTATACGCTAAAAAGAGATGAATACAACAGATATTTATGATATTTTTAGGGCGTATGGTCAAATCAAGGCGCCCCCAAGTATGTGCACTAAGATGGCGCACAACCTGAATCCTAACCTGGTACACATACTATGTTCGGGTTGTGCGACTTCTTGGTGCACATACTTCTGAAGGTCCCAAATCAATGTGGGTGTGACTATGTAACGTAGAGTGAATTAAAAATATTAAATCATATTAATTAATGATTTATTCATGAATAGAGGTGATTCCCTAACTGTGTGAGACAACCAAGAGTGGGAATAATCGATAACTATTAACAACTTCACCGAGCTGGAGTGCACAATTCATTTTTTCTATACGTTTCAATCATTGGGTTCAAATTTGTTGGAGTCGGATTGAGGGGGAAAAGGATTTTTTTTTCCTAACTTCGGTTTTTTATAAAAAATTTACTAAACGCAGCAACATGCAAAATAAAAAAGTGGATGTCATTTGTTTTTCAATTATTAATAGCAGCAATCAGATGTTCTTTGTTAGACAAACCTTTTAAAATCTATATCAGTCAATCTCTAATATCACAGGTTTCTCGACGATTTTTGCAGTTTTTTCACCTTTTTCTACAGAACCAATTATCCACGCTTTATGGCCCTCAATGTTTTCAATCTCTATGCAATATTGTTCGGCTTCGTTACGGGGCAATGCAATAAGTAATCCACCAGATGTTTCAGCTGAATTTCCTTTATCCAAACCAAACTTTATTGGACTTGCCGCATTTACAGCGTACATTTTTCTTAGTATTGGCAAAGTGTGTATGACAAAAGTAACGTTTTCAAGTTGTTCCTTTGCTAAATTGTTTGCATGCCCAACAATTCCGAATCCTGTAACGTCAGTGGCAGCATGGGCCCCGTGTTTGTGCATCAACTGAGCAGCGATCTTGTTCAATCTCGACATATGTGTCATGGCGGTGTTGTACGCCTTTTCTGCCTCTTCTTTTGTTATTATATCCTTTATTGTGTCCCAGTGCTGATTACCTTCGCCCATCCATTGATACGCGTTAACAGCGGGTTGGGTACCAAGTGGTTTAGTTAAAACCAGTAAATCCCCTTCAATTGCTTGATTTGGTACAATAAATTCATCGTTTTTGCATACTGATGTTGCTACACCACCAATCAGACACCAAGGATTGATTACAGTTTGACCTCCCGTGACCGAAGTACCGGCTTCAGTTGCCAAATCATGGAAACCTTGTATCATCAGTGGTATCACAATATCTCTTTCTTTGTCAGTAAATTTTGAGCTCGTGCCTAAGAGCATCAACATATTGTCACATTCTAAAACACCCATTGCATATAAATCACTTAAAACATTTGCACAAGCTATTTTCCCCATTACATATGGGTCATGCACTAACGGATAGAAAAAATCTGTGGTTTGTAACAATGAAAAGTCTCCAAATCGTAAAGGTATAACACAAGCATCAAGTCCAATTCCAATAGTTGGTAATCCATTCTTTTGTACAGATTGGTCGTTGGTGAGTCCCTCAAGAAGTTTGAGCAGAGTCTTCTGAGGAACTTTACACCCTCATCCTTTTAATCCAGTATAATTGGTCAATCGAAATCCCTTGTCTAGACCATATTCTTCCGGATCCCAACTTTTTGATGTTGCCATTATTTTCTCAAATATATTTAGATTCTTAATTAAGTATTGAAAAGTTGCTGTCAATAATAATTCAACGTGAGAAATGTGTGTGTATACGAAGAAAAGTCAAGACAGATGCGAACTTCTTTCTCGGTATTTTGGTGAATAAACATTCAATTTTATCAATTTGAGAATTTTTGATTTCCCAAAAGCTGTGAGAGCCTTGACATTAGGAAAAACTGTTAACGGAAAGTAGAGACAGATTAACGTTGGTTGGAACTCTCACCCCACTTTGCACCCCCTTATCTGAGGCATTCAATAATATTCGAACACCATTATTCAATTTATATCATACTTGACTGTTTTCAAACATATATATCATAATGTATTCTGCGCTAGTTCTCCGGTATCGAACTAATCAAAACAGCCATATTTAAAATATATTTTTCAACTGCAGTAGGAAATAAACTATTACAAAATTTCGATCGATTGGCTCCATAATTTTAGGAAGTTGCCTATCAACACTCATCGAACAATTATAACGATTGTCCTTATAGTCCGTCGATATCAAAAAACGCTCATAGTGCTCTTAATAAACAAACCATTGTCCTACGATTACTATTGTACTTTGTTGATGCGATTAGATTTCACTTCACCGCTCATATTTCGGACTTATTATACGAATGCCCGTTCTAATTACGTTTATATATATTATATCACCGCTGTGGTAGCTAGCAGATTCACTCTAAATTTGGACCAAGCTTGTGGAAACCTTCATATCAATAGCATATACCACAAAGGTGCATTTTCTCCCAGTGAGCCGTTTGTTATGTGGTTCTTCCATTTATTACATATCTTTAGTCTATTTGCTCGTTTTGTGAAACAACATATGTTACCAGCTATATCGCTATGTATACTTACAAGAATATGTGAAGAGACAAATGTCTGAAGAGTCAATATTTACAAAAAGTGTGATTGAAAAGTAATATTTATAATATTTATATAATTATATAATTATATATAATAATTATATCAATATTTACAAAAATGATATATATATATATATATATAGATATATATAGTTACTAACTCTGGAGATAAAACGTTGAAATTGATTTATTTTTCTTGTGTGACATACAATGGTTGCTGATTTGAAACATAATAATGTAATTTTACGTTGCGACTTTATAATGAAAACTCATGTGCATAACATGATATCATAGTGACTCTGTGTACACTTTTGTTACCAAATATTAAATATTATCGGATATATAAATAAACAATTATTAATTATCCAGTTACAATTTTTATTCGTCGAGGGGAATTCAACACTGAATTCTGTGATGTCAGGGTTCTGGCTAGCGAACGCGCATTACTCAAAACATGGCGAGTGCTATCTACAGTGCTTAAAACGTGGCATGTGGTTTTCCCTCACGCCACACATTTTTTCACTAGTGACGAGGTTTTCTACAAAAGATCAGTGGGGTCATTGTCATATTGCACTTGAAACTAACATATTTTTACAGTCTTTTTTTTTCGAATTTGATTTCGGTCGTGAAAGAGGAAACAATAAATCTTATACCACTAATTTGACCAATATTCAGTATCATTTTTGTCGACACCCGCAACACTTCGAAACTTTTAATTAGCTCAAGTTGTTTTTGTTGTTGGAGCTCTCTAAATTCGGATTAGGAAAATAGGTCAATTCTTCAACACACATTGTTTGTTCTTAATTTGTCCTACTTGTCTTAGTGTAGTCAAACAACATCTGGAACATAATATGAGCTGCTTTTAAGCAGATAAATGAAGAAAACAGGGCAGATTCGGCAATATAATGGAACAATCTGGCATTGAGGAGACTTTTCTCGCCAAGTCCCAGTTTACAACGTTGAATGTGGTAGGTACTGATTTGTAATTTATTTAAAACCATTTACTTAAACTTACAGTCAACTTTTCGCAATATTATAAACCTATTATGCGTTTGCTGCAACTTGTCTTGTATTCAAATGTTCTGTTCATATTAATTATCTCTTTTTTAAAATAATATGTCAGAAAACTTCGTATATATACAATTAATGTGAGGCATAATCCAGTATTGGATATATCAGGAATATCAGGAAAATATGATGATAATCCGGCTCTTATTAATTTTCGTCGTGTTGCATGTTGTTCAAAGGTTAGTCTTAATTAAAGTTGTATTTTATTATATATAGAGTTTTTAATTCCTCAGAATTTATATACATGCAAACTATAGCAGGATGAGGGCCATGACTTATTCCATCGTTTCATATTTGGTACGGTTATTTCACAAAGACATGGTTATGTTTGTTGTTCAAAAGACGCGGCTGTCTTTAATCTTGCACTATGAGACTCGCAATTGACTTTTAATGATTCGGACAATAATTCCTATGCTATTCATTTGAGTAAAGTCGATCAAATGTGAATTATTTCCAATTAACTTGTGTTTAGTAAAGTATATATACAAAAATATTTAGGTTATCAAAAAAATAATAGATAATGCAAATTCTATTCAATTCCCTAGTTAAAGATAATACATGGTGTCCATAAAATCCCTTCACAATTTCATTTTATTTTGAAGTCAGTTCTTAATATGTCTCAGCCAGGTATGTTGTTTTTTATTCAGTAATTGTGTAAGTATTTTCACTTCATTTATTACATCGGTGAGGGCCAAAACAATATATGATATCGAAAAATTTTTTTTGCAATTTTAAAAGGTTTTAACACTTCATGGACATCCTGTATATTTAGTTATGCTGTCCAAATAAATTTGATATGTAACATGTCATCTTACATTTAGTGCTCCGATGGAAGAGAACAGACCGGGTCCTCCCGCAGGTAATATGCCTAAATTTTATTTTTATCGATATTCAATTTTACAGATGTAATCTTGGAAAGAGCGCGTTGCGCCTAGCTGACATTGGTTTACCATGAGAAACATTACTAAAATACATTTAGGTTTGTACAACGCAAGCGTTTTACCAGGAGTAAATTGAATGCAAAAAAGACGCTGGTGTTAAATTTCTTTTTTTAATTTTTGGTTATAAATGTCTTTGTAACGATTTTTTCGATATTCATTCGTATCCATTTGGTTTTAAATATTGCATCAAAAATAAAAAGTCTTTCCTATTTAAAAAAAAATCACAAACAAATATTTTTTTATAACAGAACTTCGAATTGACTTTGGCAAGACACTTAGGAATTGGCGGGAAAAGGCTGTCAACTTCGGCAAAAAAACTTTCGAATTAGTCAAAGGAGGGATTAACACTGTTGGAGAAATCATAAAGCCATTTAAAGATACGACGCCTGGGAAGGCCTATACAGCGTTGCAGCAATTGGTGAATGGAAAACCAAAGGAGGCGTTTCGTAGTGCTGTAAGTGTTAGTGTCGATTTGGGCAAAGCTGCTCTCGGATAACTGAATGACAAGGCAAGGTAAATTATTTTACGATTTTTCCATTCTGAATTTTATTGTTACCGTTCCAGCTGTTCTATCATTGAAGGTGGTACAGCAAATTTATGTTCATCCATTCATAGCAAAAACAAAAATTGAACAGCGTAGAAAAGTTTTGCATACTGAAGTTATCAAAAAAGAACCTAAACACGTGAATTAATTTTTTTTTAAATTACAACAAATATTTATTATGAACGACACACAACAACAAGTCACAAAGCATGCAAATTTAAAAAACAGTTACTATCCAGGTAACAAATAGGCAGCAGAAAAATTGCTTTTTTCTCGAATCATTTATCAAATTAATTTCAATAACTAAATTAAATACAATGCACTGTCTCCTGTGTCTTGAATTGTTGCTCCAAACGAGTTCAACTTCGAACTTTTGTAATCCTTTATTATCAATCAACACGTGGATACCCAATGTTTTAAGTCTCCATGTAAGACAGTCTAACGAAATATAATCCTAGATTGATAGAATTTACTTTGTATGTCTAACTAAAATATGATGTAGAAGCATCACCATTATGTCACTTAGTCCAACCCGAGTCCAATTAACTCTTGTTGCAAATCGCATTACTTGAGTACAATGCCTGACTGCTCTATAGTATAGAGGCTTATTCTATTCCCATACTGTTAGCTTAGCAAATCCCATTTCCATGAGTATTCCTGTACAATGTTAATACACAATTCTTCCAATATGATCCTGTATCTTTTCTGGCAAACTTCGATTTATATCGCTGCCCCACTAGGCATATCACTGCTGGCTAATTCAATTCAAATGTGCAAAGATCGTTGATGTATTGAGTTTTTGTTGAATTGCAGATGACAGAAGACGACAGGAAAATCAAATTGAAACTGACGATGCAAGAACCACTTCCAACAATTTTTAATACTTATTTCTGTGTACGGCATTCATACGTCGCTAAGTGACAAAATAGAAAGCTAACTGTAATACCACTTGAAACGTGATTTTGCGACTTTTGGCTAGTGACTTTAGGAATACAAATTACTGTGGGTGTATGGGTTTCTATGTATTCAATGGGCTTTTGCATTATATCAATTATGGGTTTTCTGTCTATTTTTGTAGCGGGTTAAATACCAAGTTTTTATACTACAACTAGACGTTAAAAATAAATGAGTTGTTTCGTGATCAAAACAAATTTTTAAACCGGTACGTTTTCCAAACAAATTACTTTCGAAGAATTCACATTTTTTTTCATTTGCACTTTTGCTGATATGACTTCAGTTTGTTTTTTTGCACCTTGTATAAACATAAAAAAAAACAAATGTAATTTTCATGTAAATAAATCAAGTTAAAATAGTTCTCATTGTTTTCAGTTATCGTGAACATGGATTATTTTAACGTAGCAAAATGTATAGTAAATGTTAACATAACTATCAGTAAAGGTTACGCGAGACTAACTCCCAATCCTTCCTCAATGCCTTTCCACTAGAAGATCCATATGCGTATAATGCAAGGATGCTGTAGCTGAAATAAAAATACCATATATTGCAATTCAAGAGTCCTGCTGCACACTAACACAAATGTATTTCTGTAACGTTCCGTCTGACCAAAATTCCGCCTGACCTCATGTAGACAAGCATTTTTTCTTCTGTGTGTCGTGCAGCAGGAGTCTTGAATTGCATAGAATTTTAACATAGGTGTTATTTGGTGAATTTTGAATGTAAAACTATTTTACCAATTCAATTGCGTGCTGATCGAAACGGAAGGGACGTTGTTGACTCCAAAACGCTGGTGTAAAAGTACTAAGTTTAAATACCAAAACAATAAAGAAAATTGGTTATATTGTCATATATTGAAATCGTGGCGATGAGAATACAGTTATTTTTATTATTATATTATTATTTTAATGGTGCTTATAACTGGCTTAGTTTTGTGCACCAGGACTGTGATATTAAACGTTTGGTGCTCAAATGCTTCGACCCGTTCCGAGGACGTATTCTATAACAAATGATATAATTCTGGGATTTGTTAGCAAATTGATAATATTCACGGGGCCTATATTCAGTTCTTTGCAATGATTAAGTAAAATTGATCTTGGGAAGTTATAACGGGGACAATTTAATATTAAATGTTCGACGGTTTCGTTTTCCGTGCAGGTGTCGCAAAATCCATTTTCGTGGAGTCCAATTTTATGAAGATGAAAGTTCAGACGACAGTGGCCTGTTTGTAGTCTGAACAATAGTATTTCATATCTTCTAGATAATTTGCAGGAATTATGTACTTTAATCGATGGGAAGAATAATTTGAAATGTTGAGCTTTTTCTAGTGTGATATAATAGTTATTCCATTCCATTTCGCACTTCGCATTAATAATTGACTTTGCTTCGTTTTTCGAGAAATTGATGACAGACGTTAAAGTACTTTCGTCCATTGTTGCTTCTTTTGCTAGTTTGTCTGCTCTTTCGTTGCCAGCAATTCCAACATGTCCTGGGATCCACACAAAATCTACCAAAATATTTTGGCTCCTGAGGGAAGATAGAATAGTTTTAATTTTAAAAAACAACATATGATTAACAAAGTAAATTTTACTTAATCCTTGTAAAAGGCTCAGACAATCGGTCAAAATTAAAACACGTGACGGCCGATGCAAAGTTATCCAAAGCAATGCTCTGTACACGGCATAAAGTTCAGTTGTAAACGAACTTAATTTTTTGTCAAGTGTAAAAGATTTGGAGACGTCATACTTTAAAATACAAAAAGATGAACCACATCCTGTATCCGTCTTTGATCCGTCCGTATAAATTAACAAGTATTGACTGTAATTCTCAGTAATATATTCATCACATATTAGTTTACTTATAGGTAACGGATCTGTTTTCGAAATAATATTCGCGAGCGACACATCAATATTTGGTTGTAAGGGTGTTAACGGGACTGTGTCATAGTTTGGCATTTTACTCTGAAGTTGTGTTATATACTCCCGGGAGTCAAAATTCTGAATTCTGATCTTTCACGGAAAGCGAAGGAAACGAAGTCTATTGAGCGTGCTCAACAGTCTATCAATAGAGAATTGCATACACCACAGCCCTTTTGGTTAAGAAATTTGATGAAAGTATATAACAGAACTAGGGATACTTATATCTGAGAAAGTTACCGGCGAGCACTCAAAATTTAAACATTCTGTTTTTTTTACATGGTATTGACATATTATGTTCACCAACGTATCTTCTAAATTCATACTGCTGTATTCTAATTATATCTACTTGTAGTCAGATTGCGCCTAATGTCATTGTGGACAAAACCAGCCTGAAGCACGCTGTTTTAGTTTAGCGTGACGTTTTAGAACTGAATGTTCGCCATTACCATTCCAAAACGAAGGCCCAGGCCATCTTACTGCGTAATCATTACATCTTTAGTTCATTACACTGTAATAAACTAAAGCCTGAATTGCAATACCTTTTACTGGTATCGATACAGCAGTGCAAATGTATCGAACAGTAAGTCTGACGGAAGATTGAGCACTGTTCATTTACGAAGTTACCGCTGACCAATTCCTCTGTTCCCATTGATTCATGTAAAATCCGATATTTTACCAAAAATTGCTATTTCATTTCACAGAGACGCCTTTCATTTCACCAGGCTTGATCGTATATTGGTTACGATTGTCTATCGATCTGTCCATTAGTATAAGTTTTTTTTAATTGAAGCAAGTCAGTGCGACGTGATCGAAAGAGAAAGACAGTGTTCGGATAGGGTTAGCGGGTTGGGTTAGACATATGTAGATACTGCGTATGGAGGGAGCCCTGCTTATTAATGTAGCAGGAATACTAAACAGTAGTTTTATTATTTAGTTACATCCGTCGTGGGTCAAATCCAAACATATGCAGAAAAATTTAAAATGCAACAAAGCTAAGACATTTCTGTAGAACAAACATCATATATATATATATATATTACATGTCACGACAGCGTGTCTAATGTAAATCTGATTCATGCGAGACAATTTCGAACCATCAATATTCCATTTTGCTTGGCTTTAGAGTAAAAGGAATACGTAGCGTCAGTTAAGTTTTTTAAATGACGCTTTTGCACTTCTTGTACACGTAACCACTCATATATAGCAAACAATCATTCATTTTGGTTCTCTGACATGAACAATACAAAAAGTGAAGCGACAAAACAAAATGCAGAGATCTGGGAGACAGGCATTACTCAAAATAAAGTTTAAAAAACGTACAATGTACGTGCCCGCCAACCAAAAAAATAATAATGAAACAAACACAGAAAAACGCGATTTACAACCGGGCAGTACTTTGGAGGCAATTTAACAAAAACAGCAAATATGAAGTAGATAATTGAATGTAATGAACTTCTGACAACTTCTTCCGTCTTTGTTGATGAAAATTGGAACCGCATGTTGGTATTCAATTAGAATTTATATAGACATCATCAAAATTAATATATATATATAAATGAAGCCGATTTTGAATACTGTGTAGGCCTTTGAAATTATCGGTTGTGTATAGCACAAATCCGAATAAGTAGAAAGCTATAAGATACGTCGTTTGCCTTTATATATATATATATATATATGCTATAGAAGGTACTGTTTTAGGAAAGTCGGAAATAATTACGGTTTTGCATTGACTATCCATCCAACTTTATTTCTGAGTGGCGATGGCCATGGAAAATTTACCCGATATGTACACCCTATACGCGTTTAGTCATTCTCTTCAACCCCTAGGTCAACGCGCCCACACTGCACGCTATAGTGCAATCCATTTTATATTTCATAACTGGAGTTTATTTTTGTATTCCAGTACAATTTTTTGTTCCCAATTTTTATGTGTTGTTTCACATTTTCTCCCTGAACAAACATATTGAAAAGCATCCACTGGTATGACATATGATTTTTAAACTTCTCTTTGTGGTGTGATATGTTCTTCAGTTTCACTTCCGTTTAAAATAACTCTGCCCCATTCATAATCTTCACCGGTAAACCATCTCAATACTAAAAAACAGCAAACAAAAAAATCGGTTGTTTACAGTTAGAAACTGAAGTTACCTTTGCAATTAGATAAATTGGTTATGAATATCGGAAATTATGAACTCTAATATTATCAATCGGTATCGGTACGACTGATTTCCGTTACTGGCTGGTTTCGTTGACCGATTAATCTAAGAAAATACAAGTTACTAAACCTAAATCATAGCATGATATTTTTTTCGAATCAGAACTTATTTTGAGTAAATGATTATAGAAATAGCTACAAAAATTTATTGTACAAATTTGTTTCACATATTAATTACTATAAGCGATTTAGCGACGTTTACTCTCAGTTACTAAAAGCAATGTTTTGGGGAAATAGGATCAAATCTTATTACAAAGTAAAACAAATAAATCATATCGAAATATTCTGGTTGCAGTACGAACCTTTACTCTGTCTTGATAATCTCGAAGATTCTGTTCTTTTCATTCTTCTACGTTTTCGAAACATTCTGGTTGCCAAATACAAAAAAGTAAAAATAAAAATGTGTGCAGTTGAACGAAACTACTTTTCTATCCGAGGGATGGGATACTTGGGCCAGGATTTATTTATGTAATAAAAATTGTAATGTTGCTTGCAAACATTTTGTGCATATTTTGTGATTTCGGATGCTAGTACGTCGTAGTTGGAAAATAATATAAGGCCCAATTACGGTACGAAAAAATGATACTATTTACACCTCAGCATTTTTACAGAAGACTCATAAAGTGGTAGATATTTTAAAACCATGTAATGCAAGGTTTTCAGTTGTTGAATGTAAACTAATAGGTTCAGTAATATAATTAAAAACAACCAAACCTACACATTTTTCATCCCCAATAAAAGTATTCCCGGAGAGGAATAACGAGAAAGAAACCGATTAGGGAAGTCACAGTAAAAACAAACCTTGTTCTTTCTTGAAATATAGTCATGAACAATAATAATACGATGGCAAATATTGCCATTGTTGTTAAAAACATTGTTTTTTGATTTATACCTGCAATAAAAGTTTTCCTCAGTAATTTCCGGCAAAAAAATGAAAATTTATCCCTAAGCTATACTTAAAACATAAAGAAAAATTGATTGTTTAACTTAAAAATCATTTTTAAATACTACTGAGCAACTGAGCAATGCAAAGATGTAAGTGCACATCATAGCTTTTAGGCAAAAATAAGCCGTTCGTTAAGAATGTGCTCACTGAAATTGATTAGCAGAAACTTTTTAAATTATAGCGCAAGCTACAAACACTTCAAGGTAAAACAGCAGGCCTCCTAGAAAATAGGGAAATTGAAAAGCGTCTTTTAGAAACACTTCCTTTTTTATTAGCTTTTCATTGTCCCCACGACAACAATTTAAAAAATTAATGCATAGATCCTCTTTGCTTGAAATAACAAAAAAATGTCTGACCTTCCGATGTTGGTGTAACACGTTCACAGATATAAGATCTTTTTACTTCACATGGAACGTCAAACCATTTATATTCTTCTTGTAAACCGGTTGAGCCCATGGTAACACAATCTTCTGGTATGTTGTTGAAATTATTTGGTTCACCACGCGCCCACTGCATTGGAGTGCCGGGTAAAAAATGTAGCAAGTCGCCATTCTCCCATTGAAAATTAGAGTTACCTCCAGAAAAATCTTTTAGTCCAATATAAAATGATCTGTACGGCGGTCCTGATAAAAGCAGTACGTTTTAGCGAACTTAAAATAATCTAAGCGATATTTTAAAAACGATATAAAAACACAAATCTCTGTTTCATAGTTTCGAATACCGTGGTTGATGATAATATGAGAGAGGATTGCTGGACTCCTCGCGTGGCTCTACATTATTAAGTCGTCTTATTGACTTTCCTCTCCACTGGGATAAAACAGAAAGTCTCATCCTACCTATTAAATTTAACACTCACTTAGTGTATGTGGTATCATAACTCGATATATTATGTCGACCAAAAATCGATGAATATCATCGGTATCATCTACCACTAAATGTGAATCCATTTTATTGCATTCTTCTCTTGCTTCCTGCTGACTTCGAATATCTGTTCCATTGTAGATAAAATACTCTCGCAGTCCGAACGAATACCATTTCTGTTCATCTATAAATAATATTTAAGACAGCGTTATTAAAATATAAATTCATTCATTATAGATATATATTAGATATATAATAAAAGATATAAATTATTGAAAACGATAAATCGTGTTATGAGTAGTGTGGCTTATCTCTTCAAGAATTTGTCCCCTCAAAAACCATAATATTCTGATTTCTGGAGTCAAGTCTATTTTGATGCAACCTGAAGGTCTTTTAATCGAAACAAGAGCAAGCCCCGTTAACATTGCGATATTCCAAATAGCCACAACTATTTTGGGTATCCCGTTCGTCCGAATTGGGATTTGACCGCTATCCTATAAGAAAGATATAAAGTCACGACTGCCGTTACCCAGAGTTCCCCAACCTGTGGTACCACAGCACTGATCAATTTCTTGCGAAGGTCTTTAGGGTGGAACGCACGTACGTAAAAAACGTACTGAGGTAAAGATGTACGGTTGCTCATTTAAGACCCATGTCCTCATTTCACACAACTTACGAATAAATGTTTTTGCCTGCCATAATAAGCGACTTGCTGCGATTTTGAAAAAAACTACACGTAAATTCAATATATCTAATTAAACTTGATTTATAGGATATATATATATATATATTGCCTATATATTTTTTGATATTTTCAAACAAAGAGTATCAGATAACATACTTACCAACATCATTGTGTGACATAGTTGAGTAATTTACATCTGAGTAAGTAACAAAGTGTAGAATTCGCGTAGTGTAGTAATTTTTTGCAAGACTATAAGGCGAGATTCATTGACAGAAATGCAAATTTAGACCAACGGGTTTCACACGCTACGACTAGCCTATTTTATGGATGATTCGGTGCTATCCTGAAATTGCCACCCCACTGAATTTCTGATCTGTTTTCCTCATCTTTATTTAGGCTGAAATGATGTAGAAGGTGTGGCAATAACTTGAACAGCTCATGATTATCTCAGATAAACAAAATAAAATAAAACAATAAGGGGTGGGGCAATTTCCATAATTCTCCAAATTTTGATAATAGTGATGGTAGATCGGGATAATAGCTAGCATTTTAACTCAGGCTGATATCAAACACTGTCTAGTCTTCAAATCGACTGTTATGGCTTGAATCGCCAACCACTGTCAGAATATATTACGCTTTCAAATAACATCAACAGTAAAGCTCATGTATTACTATGCGATACACGGTACAATAGAGCTAGCGGTTACCGCAAGCATTTTCGAAATATCGATAAATCGTGTTTGCAAAGACTTAAATTAATTTGCATTGATTTTAGAAGCTTCATGAAAATTAAAACAAAAAGTAAAATAGAATTTAAAGCAAAAAAAATTTACTGAACGTGCAATCAATATCATCTTTATATAACGTATTTATAATGATGAACCCAGGGCATACATTCAAGCTGTTTTGCCACTATCGCCCAGATTGGACTGTAAATTATAATTTGCACATGGAATGCTTGCACCATCTGACGTCCATGTCAAGACGAAGAGGCCACCAATGTAAGTTTATTCAGAATAGCGGTCATAGTTATTCGACATAACACGTCTGTATTCAGTAAAGGTTGTTCGTTACAGCTTTTACTTTTTTATCGGGCGCGTAGCGTTTACGTTACGCAGTACTATTTCCGAAAATACTATTGACGTGTTAAATGCCAGACGTCTACAGCGAATAATTTTGTTCTGCACGGCAGCGTAGATGATTTGACTTGTATTTCAGCAACTAATAAATGAACGGCTGGCTTATTGATTTTTTTATGCATCACCAAATTTTGTGTACGGCGGAATTTCACTACTTTAATGTTGGCTTTGTACTCATTATAGATAGAATTGCATGGTAGACAACACCTCAAACTAAGAAAAGGTCCGTCAGAGTAAAATAGCATAAAAATTTGTTTATCATTTTAATAAAATTAACAACAAAAAATTGCTTAATGTTCTCTAAAACTAAAATTAAATTACCGACATTCTAAAATTCAATAGTAACGGTAATATATTTCTCTTATAACTCCTTGCAGGCTTACATACTGAAAATTAAGATTAGACGATAGAAATTCATTCAATGAATTCTCCATATTGCTTACAATATATTCACTTTGTCAATAGTTAATTGCTGCTTCCGTTACGTAAGTCATTCGCACATATATATGGGAAATCACGAGAAATCTTTTCCCAACGTAAATCTATATGAAGCAACATACTGAAATGACTCTAATAGCAATCGTCCCCAAAATGCAATTCCAATCGCAAAATTCACATGAAAAGACACAAAAAATTCCATGTAATGGAATTTTCTTGTTTAAACAGAATCAAGACTGCCTGCGCAAGATTGATTTTCCGCTTTATTTTATATTAGATAACGATGAATGTTGGACGCGACATGCTATTCCACTTAGAAATAATGTTGCTCTACGTGACTACAAACCACACGCATAGTCAGTAGCCAGGAAACATGTCCTATATGGGTTAATGCTTTCAATTTTAATGTTTTTTTTTCATGAAACACTTCCGTATTGAAACCAAAATGAAACCTGAAGCTTCGAAGCAAACACCAACATACTTAGTCGCTCAATGGTTGTGACACCGTTTGAACCATGACTATGGTAAGGTACTTGTTCGTTTTACGTGAAGCGTGGTAGATTTCATTTTCTTCGGGATAATACGAAAAATGCATTGCTTTTTGTTAATAGGGTTGGAATCCCGTAAACTTGTGATAAAAACGACATTTTCAATTTTTTTCCATCAGGATAATAATTCTTTCCCCAAGTATTTCCGTATTGAAGGTTAAAAAAATAAAACCGATGGACGAAATAGATTTTTTCTAAATTTAAAATACCCTACCACTCAATTTTTGGAAACAAAATATCCTAATTTGAATTAATTCAACAGTTTTGACCCTGATAATTCATTTAAAAAGTGTATACAATATATATACAAAATATCTAAATAATCATATACTGATTAATCGGACCTCCTGAAGTATGCGCACCAATATGGCGCACAACCTAAACTCAGGAGGTGTACCAGGTTCAGGTATGGGCACCAGGTTCAGGTTGTGACGACATCTTGGTGCGCATACTTCAGGAGTACCGATTAATCTATCAACAACAAGAATTATCATTTTATTCTAATCTTTTTTCATCGTATAGACCCGTTTATTTTCAAGAATCGGAATAATTACTTTATCTATCAGTACTTGGTCAATATGCGCCAACACCCCTCTCTATTTTTGGACACGTTAGTGGACATAACGATCGTTTCAATATTATGTTGTTGTTGTTTTTTGACACTTTTTGGACACCTAGTGGAACTCTATTAAGTTGCTTTCTTTTTGATTTCTGTACCGATTGCTCTGAAATTTTCAGTGGTTGAAGATAAATTTTTTTTAGAAGGCTATTACTTTCATTTATTTCAAATATTCCTGATAGTACTGTGGGATTTGTTTTTTTGGCACGTAATGAATTTAATTTTATGCTAGCACTCTTCGTGCTCATCGAACGTCGGTGGTATGTAACAAAATGCTTGCTTTGCTAAGCCGTAGGTACCGGTAGCGTCAAAGGTAAGGACTGCTTCGCTCTGAATAACGTTTCCATATATTTGAGTATTGCTCTCTTGTTTATTTACAAATATTATGATGTCGAGTTTTGGGGTGGCACGACATTTTATTAGAGCTTTGAGTTTCTTAAAGCGTTTTTAAATTCATTTCCAATCTACTTGGGTGATTTGCATAGGTAACTTGCCTGTAACCAAAATTTCGTATTTTACTTAATTTGGAAATTTATTTATGACGACCTAACTGAAGTACCTATTATGGCACGGACTATAGTCTTATGGCGTCATTAAAAAGAAAGGAATCCTAAGTTCCATAGCCCAAAAACTCTCATGGGATGACCGAACATTTTAAATCCAGCCCTGCCTATAAGGAATTTTGGAAAATCAAAATAATAGCCTTCTGGCGGCTCCACCTATTAGAAAATTCGAAAACAATTGTGCCAATAGTATCTGAGCAGAAGCGATTTTCCCCCACAAAGTGATCAGTAATCAGTAATTTATTTTTCCATCATACTAAAGTACACATTATGAGTACACAATAAAACAAGACAGCAATGCTCAAATATACGGACACGTTAATCTGAGCGAAGCAGTCAATTCCTTTGACGCTACCGGTACCTACGGCGCTATTCGCCATTCCCCACTAGCAAAAATTTTGTTACACACCATCGACGTTCGATGAGCACGTGATCAAAAGAACAACAAGAAGAGTGCCAGCATTTACCCACTGAAAAATTCAGAGCAATCGGTCCCGTCTTCTAAGAGAAAAGCGACTTTTTAGATTTTTCACTAGGTGTCCAAAAAGTGACAAAGAACAACAACAACATACTATTGAAACGATCGTTAAGTCCACTAACGTGTCCAAAAATAGGTAATGTGGTACTTCAGGGCAATGCTCATTGTTCAGGGTGAAGAAAAGCGCGAGATACCAAGACTGGTTATCTATTTATGCACTATTGTAGTATTATTTTTTTATTTTATTTTTTCATAGTGTTAAAATGATGTACTAATGGATTCTCATATATAGGCTCATTTAGAATTAAGTATCTATTTCGGAAACGCACTACTCTTTTTCTACCATTAAATTAATTTAAAACAAAAACCACATTATGTTACTGTTATAAATGTGTCATTTTTCACAATAAATTCCCAACCCTGATCAGATGAATCCAAAATTTATCCTCGTTTTAATCAGATTTATTCTCGTTTTGTAAATAGTGTAAATAGTTCTCTATAAACTGAGAGTTAAATAAAAAAGAACCTGTGTCAATTTATGTATTTATTCATGTGTTGTATTGGGTGGTAACTGACTCAGATGACCGTAACTGGTCGTATCGTTACCTCCCAGTCATACCGAAAACTTTTGTTTCACTTATTTTGTTATTATTATATTTTATACTATGTGTTTTCTGGTTGACGAAATAATAAATCCTCTCTCTCTTATCGAGCAGCGACATCCTAGCAAAACAATTGATAGTTCCACATTTTCGAATTCTCTGCTCGCGTATACTAGTGCGGTTTTCCTAGTTCTAAAATTGATGCCACAATTCATGGATGGCAATCCCGGACAATATCATTCAACAATACGAAAATAAAAATATTTTTTTTATGTTTATATATAGCAGCTTTCATCCAATTTACATCACAAAAATCTTTTTATCAAAAGCTCGTTGATTTGAAAAATTGTACTGATTATACCAGCATTTGTGTCGTATATTCATAGACCTCTCGCCATTAGAAAGCGATATTATGATGGCAGGTTTTCGGCTGACAGTACATTTTTTCAGAGCCTTGAATTCTCTTGAAGTGTTTTTAAATTCAACTTACTATTTAATCTACTTGAGGTATTTACATACTATCTTGCCTGTAACTGAAATTTATCGCAGCTTTCATCGAATTCATATCCCCAATCTTCAATTCTTACTCATACGAAATTTCAATCAGCAGAGACATCTTGTGACGACGAAAATATCTAAACGCTGATTCGGCAGTTTTCATTGATGACGCCACACGTAGTAAACATTAGTGGAGGTTGAATCACGCTTTATCGTCAATCTGTTAATGTAGAAATGTTATTGTAGAAAGTTCCATTTTAGTTTGATACCCGTTACCTGCGCAAAATGATGTTGTGAGTCACATGTCAGTAGTCAAAAGCCAGTACCGTTCTAATAACAGTAAAAAATATCTTTTATAATGGAAGACCAAGTTCCTTCGCTCTTTCTTGAGAATAATTTGCTGTCGGAAGATGACTGGGGTAAGCGAATGATGAACTTATATTTTTATATTACTTTACCAATGACAGAATGCTGGAATGAGTTCAATAAAAGCTGTCCCGTTACACAGTTAAAGCATTACCTTTAATAGTATAAATTTCAATAGAATTATCTTGCGTTTTATGACTTTGGTGACACAGTCAAGACTATCTGACTTTTATGTCAAAATATTTGACATATTTTTTTGTCGTAGTGCTATCATACAGTATTACTGTTTTATGCAATACAAAATATGAAAATTTCAACAGCTTCATTTTTTTTGTAGTATACTTCATTAGAATTTTCTAGACTAAAGCATAGTTGGAATCAAATACCAGAAGCAACCGATACAAAATTTAAAAACTGATGCTGAATGAATAAAATGAATGAATAGCCTTATAACTAATTTTTCTATCAGCTTGAAGATGAACAATTTTTTATCAATTGGGATTTCTGTATATGATGATGTTATTGTAGTATTATCAAATTTGTAGTTTCTCATAGAGTACATCTCATTTGATAGCTGTGAATTTTCTTTATTGCTATGTTAAGTATATATAATATGTTCCACTTTTGATGATGATGTATAGACTAGTGGTTATATTAGATTCAACTCTACAATCATATATGAAAATGATGTAGTGAAATGATATTTTATATTTCCATATATAATAATATCATTTTATTCATTGTAGGAGGATCTCTGTCTCATCTTATTGATTTGAAAGATTTAACTTCAAATGATTCTTTGAACAATTCTCCAGCAAGTGGTAATTTTTGTTAGATGAATATATCAATAGATCTAGAGATTGACAAAAAGAGCTCTGGTCATTTGGAAGATTTCTGGGGAAAATAACTTTTCCGAAAAGTGTCCTAGATTATTAAAACTTTCGAGTTAATTCATACGCAAACAGAAGATTAGGTATTTTCTTCAATTTCATGTAAGCAATTGAGAGAGTTATGGGTTCTATTTTTGGTTCACCCCATAGTTGTCTTTGGTATAATTAAACTCACTAATAACTTTAAAAATCAATCATGCATAACCTTACAGCATCGACAATTGAATTTTTACATTGTATTATTCTAACCTCCATACTAGCTAGATCGCTATAGTTATCGCTAGATACTTGCTTTCAATCAAAAATATTATGTGGATAAGCTCATGATAAAACAAAATATATGATAAAATTACCTTGAAATTACAGTGATTTTACTACTCCTAACCATTTCGAATCCACACATTCATAGTCAGTTGTTACTTGTTAATGTCAGTTGTTTTTCAATTAGTTGTTTGGCTAATAAAAATTATTCTGATGATTATGCGGTAATAATATCTCATATTCTATTTGTAATTTATTAAACATTCGCTAATAGCTTAATTAGTAAAATTGCATATTCTATTGATTTGACAAAAAATGTGTTTAGATTACACTCATGAATATGACATTACACATTTTAATATACATATAATCCATTTTTTCAGATTTTTGTATTGAAGATGAAGGAAGATATCAAGAATGCCAGCTTGACTTCTATGGTGTATGTAACTTTGTTCGTATATGTCCTATTCAATGGTCTTTGTTCAACATATTTTCTTGTTTTATTGGATCCTTCCATGGTCTGTTTCCATGACCATGTTCAATGACCTAACTTTCTAAATGTGATGACCTCTTGTCGTTTTTGTTTATATATGGTATTTATATTATGTAAACAACTTATTGCTCAAGGCATGGTTATAAACAGAAAGTTGATTATGAGGGTCATAAAAGTTTATTTAAATTTGTATATATTTGATTTTGTTACAGCAATCACATTCATACTAAAAATAAACATTCCAAAATTGAACATCTATTTAAATGCTATAATTAGTATTTGAATTGGTCAAATTTTGAAATTGTTAGGTGTGTGTGTGTAGTCTTAAAGTAAATTGTACTTTAATAAACAATTAAAGTCTTTCGCGCCAGACAATTTAAAACCCAAAATTTATATACCTACCCATATCACTCTCCCAGTAGATTTTACAAAATCAAGTAGTAAAGGAAACATGTGATGGTTGCTTAAATAGCTTTGATTTGAGAATCAGTGTCATAATTGTTGCATTTCAGCTGCTTATTAATTCATTCACTGTTATACATACAGCGTTCATTAGAAAATGTTTGGCTACCTGTGGAATATCGCAAAGGACGGTACTCCCGTAGTGTGTGTACCAGTTGTGTTATTACAATTTTCCTCATTTCAATTCTATTACGAGTTCGAGGACTGTCTGTGTTAGCCAAGTGACTACACTCCCTGAATATATGCCCATAGGCTTCTGTCCATTTACACAACTTGATGTAAAGTAGGCAAACAAAATCAGTTACCTCCACTTCCGGAGCGCCCAAAGGCCGGTGCTCTGATACCCTATTCTGTGGAGGCACTTATTTAAACGGCAATGTCCTGTCTGGAGTAATTTGTAATTGACAATATTTTTCAGTCTATCGGGTAGGCTACTGTTCAGCTATAAGTATAACCACTTCTGTGTGCCGGGTTTACACACTCAGAAGCACATATTGAGTGTTCCTGTTGATTTGAAGTGTTGTTATAATAATCGATATATGTTTGTTTCCCGAAGTCAAACTGCCACCGGTTTTGCTCTTATGTGGTCATGAATGATAATGAATTTCACGCATTGAGTTTGAGCAATGCTGTGAACTTTTATGATTACACTTTCATTTCTGAATTTAATATATTTTTTTTCGAATTGTTGAATGTTAAAAATTTCCATTTTCATTTTTTTATTAAACAATTTAATACTAAGCATGACTTTTGCTCATAACTCGTCATTAATATTAATCATCTTCATCATTTGTAAGGGGTGTTATGACCCTTTTCCATCAAATATATCTGCTCATTTAAAATTTCTGAAGGAATAATGTAAATAATATGATTAGCTTATTTGAATGAATGAAACGGGAGCATTAATTCAAAATTCGAATCCTAGATTTCAATGATGAAGATGCCATGTTTAAATAATTTGACTTTCCAGTATTTTTGTCCACTTTTACACATTTTTGAACTTCTTGTATAGTTTTGTACCGTAATAACTTCTAGTGGGTGTCGCGTAACAATATTTTTTATATGACATATTTATATGCCATTGTCTCTGAACAAGGCTCAGACCAAGCAGCTACTTCTAGGTAAGGAGCTGCTTTAGTTAGAAAGGACTCAATTATTTTGTTTAGCATTGCCTTCTAATTTTATTTCATCCTTGGTGAGATGATGGGTATGGAATTCAAAACCGAGATTTTAACTTGCAATATCATCATGGTTGAGCTTAGTGCCTCAACCTCCAGGCCAAGGCACCCACTCTTTTTCCATTTTATACTACATTTTCATGTTATGGGTTACTATTTTAAAAGTGAAAATTAAGTCTTACAGTTCATGCAGTAATAAAAGCCTCACAATTTTTTAATTTAGGAAAATGGGCTGGGACAAAATGTTGACAGCGTTCTTTCATCGGAGTCTTCACCATTGTCTGAAAATTGTGATTTTGTTGATGAACTTCTACAAGATTTATTACAAAATCAATCGTCTTCTCAACAAAATATTATTACAGGTCAGATTGTGATTGACGTATAGGGCGACTGAACCCAGGTCATTTGGAACATATTCTAGAAAGAACATAACTTCTGTGCAAAGAAAGTTCAGAAATTTAATGAAGGAATTTTCGACCATACTGTATGGTTACAATTGCTAGTTTTGAACATACTTGTCAAGCTGACTTGCTTGAGATATACCTCGAACACAATATTATCTCTATAACTGACATGGTCAAACTACGGCCCGCAGGCCAAATCTGGCCTGTCGGGTAATTCAATCTGGCCCGCCAGATGCTGCCACAACCAAACTAAAACCAAATTTTGATGTTTTAGCGGAAAATAACTCAAGGAATTTTTTGATTTTGCGATTAAATTTAGTTTTCGCATGAGGCTTATTGTTTTCCACTTTTTCTTTTGTAACACTGTAAACATTGTTCATAAAATATAACTTTTATGTCACACTTACATGGCCCACCAGTCTAGATGGGCAAATTTTATGGCCCCGGGTCCAAAAACTTTACCTATCCCTGCTCTACAACATGGTCACATTTTATATTCTTTATAATTCAGATGATATTCTTCTCCAACAAGTCACTTCGGGTGATGTAGGAACGAGGAGGTACTCAACTCATACTTCCTCCTCATCTGCCTACTCTTCTTGCTCTGACTCGGGCACTCCATCACCAACTGATCAGTTTTCTGATCACGGTTCTTGCTCATCAATAGACTTTCAAGACCATGATGTTATAAATTCAACTGTCATCGAATCTGATACTCTATTGATGAAAAAGACTCCCTTGCCTGTGAAGGCAATTTCTAAACCAAATTTAGTAAATCCAAAATTGAGTCAAAGTAAACGCAACTCAAAGACAGTGGATTGTATTAAAAAACTACAAGAAACTGACTTGGATAAAGCTGTTCGGCTCGCATGTGAGGAAACAAACAGACTTTTGCGTTTACATAGGTCGGTATCAAACGGTCAAACCGAATCCCCTGTCTCTTCGCCTCTTAATAACGGTGGAAATGGGGTCAAAACAACAGAGAACAAACCTGAAAATGATCTTCTAAAAAGTTTATGTGAAGAAACTATTCTCGATAATTCAGTGTCTCAAAAGAAAAATCGCAAAATCAAAGTTACAAGTACATTACCAGGTCAGTAACTCTCAAAACCTGTGTTAATAATGAAAATTGATATTTGTTCAGGCCACCAAGATTCAATTTAAGTGCTTTTAATTTAAGGAGTTGTGGAATAGAATAGTTAAGAAATGTTCCTGAATGTATGTTTGCATATTTATGGCTCATAAACATTTTGTGAGTTATCCATCAACAGTTTTTAATAGTACCGTATTTGAATGAATATCTCTAATATTGAATGAAATAAGAAACTTTCTGTAAATTTTTTAAAAAAAGCAGTAGTTTTATTAAAATATTATTAAAGTAGGAAAAACTATTATGAACAACATGTGGGACTGTCTTTGTTAGCCAAGTGAATATATACCCCTGCCCATTGGCTCTCGTCCCTTTACACAACTTGATGTAAAATAGGCAAACAAAATTAGTTTCCTCCATATTGGTACACACACTTCTGGAGCGCCCTTCTATCAATAAACCACAAAAATATTTGAAGTGATTGAAAATGTGTTTCTTGCCCATTTACACACTTTTATCAATCAATAAACCTAGCATGTTTTTGAATTTTCAGACAATCATCCGAATTCTACTAAACCACAAAAAAGAAAAGCAAGCAGTCTTCAGAATGCAATTGACAGGTTATATTCTGCTAACAAGACAATGTGCTTGAGTTCACAATTGTCAAGTCAGCCAACGCCATTCAACCGTTCAGCATTGTTAAATAATCTAAATGGTAAGTAAGTGAGGGATATTTATGTGCGAGAGGATTGCTGGACTCCTCTGCTGGACTGTTGGTAGGGTAGTTTACATAATGACTGGTTAATTATGGCTTCCTCCACCATTGCGTCTATGCATCTAAAACAAATAATTAGCTAACAATGCACATACCTGGCTGAAATGGACTGGTAACCGGACGAGAGGCTGTGGTTCGGCATATAATTAAACTGCCGTGTCGCTTTCCTATAAATCCTATCCTATCTCAAGTTGATAATTGAAGTTTGGAAAGGTACATTACTTACTTACTTGTCTATCAAAGACAGCTTGTACTACTTATCTATCAGGTTACTGTAATTTGAAATTTCACTTTTGCTTCTACATTATACTTTAATTGCTTTTTCTGATATTGTTCTATCGACTATTCCTAGGTACTTCACAATCACATGTTACAAAGCCTGTGCAATTGGAATCCATCAATATAGGATCAAAGGAGCCGTGTTTTATTGTGAGTTTCGTATTTAAAAGCATTTTATTTTAATTAATAGGAACTCAATTGCAGTGAAAAGCTTCCAAATGATTTGTAAATTTTTATCATTTTTAGGTTTTTATCATATCATATTTTTCGTCAATAACTTTTTTCAAGATCATATGATGAAAGTACTTCGTATGACTTTGAGTGTAAACCAGTGGTTCTCAAACTTTTTTAGTCTCAGAGCCGCATTTCAAACCTCAAAGTTACGAAGAGCCGCACACAAACAACGCAAGGTAAAATAGCAACAAACCTTGAGCGCGTATTTAAAATACCAAGTCATCGTGAAAACAACACACGTAACAACTAGGGCTGGGCGAAATATTCGAATAATGAAATATTGTGAATTGTGCGAAATTTCCCAACGGCGCTCGCCAACAGAAAAAAACGACAAATTTGAAAAGTCGTTGTCTTTGCGTTATATGCTTATCTTTGCACCTAACGTATCGTTTTTATTCCATATTTTGCAAAAAACGTACCGTCCGCTCCGTAAATTTAGAAACGTCAAACCAGATTAGGTATTTTAAATAAATTTCCCAGATTTTAAACTCTGCATGCTTGGTGACATGTGTGGCAGGACTGGAGTTGTACTATTTTTTATTGTTTATTATTTTATTTATATTCCTTGTCTGGTTATTGCATATGCATTGGTGTGTGGAGTCTGAGCCCTAATTCGACCGACAGTTGGTTTCAGTTACTCGACTCCAACCACCACTTCATATGTGAACTGGCTGCAGTTCGCAGCCTTGGCTCTTCTTTACTTTTGCTGTCGCTGAGTAAGGACCGTATTTTGTCGCTCTTATATTATCTGCTTTAAGCGTGGATTTTACACTATTTTAATAAAGTCTCTTCGTTTACATCGTGAGCTTCGAACCTATTTGTGTGTCTTTGCAGCACATTGGATCTTCTGAACTAATTATTACAGTATTACTAGACTGTATCAGTGGCGAGCACCTACCGGTATTTCGGTTAAGTTGTACCGTTGCACATGTCATTGGCCATTTCTTGCATTACCAAACATAAAGTTGATTAAAATTAAATGGTAAAATGATTTTTCGGCGTTTCATCGTGAAAAAGGCGATTTTAGGTCGTTAGAAAACTCTAGTTATATAAATAGCATGGATTTAAAAATGACCAAAAGTTTTTCCAAGAGCTGGTATGAGTTACTTGTATGAAAAACACTCATTAAGTTGTAACCAGATAAGAAATGTTATCTCCTACTCCCTTTTAATAAAGCACTTTTTATTAGCTCTTTAGTAATCCCTTCAATCCTTGGCCAAGTAATGTTTCGAATATGTAAACATTTTACTTGACCTTGCATGGCCGTTGAGCCGAGAGTAGAACGTAAAATCAATTGTGGATGTCGTTGTAACAATGCACACTGACTCGTTCACGAATTCTTGCGTCTATTATCATCAAAAATGATTACAATTGTTAAATTTTGAAGCATTTGGGCAGTAATAATTAAGCCTTAAGGCATGACATAATCAAAATCATTTGTTGAATTTGCAAATTCCGTAAAGAAAATTGAGCTATAATAACCATCGGGGTGTGTAATAACTTCTGACCCTCTATTAGGCACAAAGACCTAGAAATGCCTTTATTGCCAATTTATTTAATTGCTATTTTAAATCAACATTCAGGATTCACGCAATCGTAAATTCGCTAGGTTTATCTATCCAATACTAAAATAACATGAACACCATAGAAAAGCATGAGAAACTCAATTATCATTTTAATAAATATCTGCATCTCGGTTACCGTTCTCTTTGAACAGGCACGGTTAATTTACAAGCGGTGATACGGAAGATCAAATCCAAGGCAGAGGATAAAACTCAGAATAAAATTAATTTTGTTTCGAAATCAGCCCTTAATGTATTAAACAGCTGTCGCTGATGTGAACGCAAGGGAATACTAGAAATATAAAACTTCGATATCCGGCGACCCCTTATTCTTGCAAAAAAACGAGAAAGAGCGGGAATATAAAATACCAACTTTAGGATATCGCCGCCGAAACGATCGCGGTGACAAAGACAATCGGCGATTATGATGAAATTGACCATTAACCAGTAAAAAAACGCTTTATTGCCGACTTTTCAATGTTTCTATTAATTTCCAAATGGAGTATCGACCTCCGACGTTCTGGATCCCTGTTATGTATAAAAAAAAAATATTAATTGTTCGACGATTCGTTATAAATATTCAAATTATTCGATTCGAAAAAAGATTCGATTTTGCCCACCCTGGACTAACAGCCATTTAATTTGGCTTTGATTCCTAACAAGTTTGTCAAATAGGGTCGTAATCGTGGAGGATGCAAAGTGCAGTGCTGCTTGAGATTATTGCCAGGTATTTCGGGACTATTTTCGATTACTGAAACAAAATTGAAATGCTCTAGGAATTTAAATAATCATTGAGTTATTTGATTTATACATAATATTCGGAAATGCGACAAAAACTGAAAATCCACGAAAGCAAGCCAATGCTTAATGCCAAAATCTTCCCAAGTGAAAAGTGTCCGCGAAAACGCATACTGTTGCGTCACTATTGCATCTTGTAGATTAGTCAACACTACGCAAATAAACACGGGGGAATCCATTCGACTAACTAATAGACTTCCGCATTTTAATTTCAAGTCAATGATTAGTTTTCAATGAAAAATTCCCTTTGAAAGTAATTAATTTTAAAAGCATTAACAAGAGCCGCAGGAAAGGTTGTTGGGAGCCGCATGCGGCTCTCAAACCCTAGTTTGAGAATCACTGGTGTAAACTATAACCAAAAAGCTGTTTTATTGTTTCAGATTCAAATTTATCATAATTTTATTGAAGTTAACTGAAAATATTTTTTGGCCTTGTTAAACAATATTAGTACATATCAAATTTGTAAATAGATTAAAATTTCTGGTAGATCAGAGAACAAAGTGAATTTTATTGTCCAAATCTAAAAATCTTTATATTGTAATTTGTAGAACTCTATAGTAAAGTAGTGTAACCCAAAAAATTCATGTATTTCTTAATTCTTTGAAAATGAAGACATTTTACTATTAAAAGTTTCAATATACGAGAGTAGCGGTGAGCTTTTTCTGGAACATGTTTTAAATCACCTGGGTTCTTGTTTGGGCGCTTCAGAAGTGTGTGTACCAATATGGAGGTAACTAATTTTGTTCGTCTATTTTACATCAAGTTGTGTAAAGGGACTGAAACCTATGGGCAGGGGGATATTCACTTGGCTAACACAGACAGTCCTCGAACTCGTAATAGAACCAAAATTAGATAACTATCACTCACACACAAATAGAATCAATAGTCATGGGACATTTACTGTACATTTATTAAACAGTAATGCTCATAATAACTGTAAACAGAAAGAAACGAATGTTAATATATGCATGTAATGGGGATAATTATATATGCCCCCCCAAGTCTTTGAGAAGAATGAATCACAAGACTGAGTAGTCTTTGAATGTTCAAGCCATTACTGCGTTGACTGACTTCGTGTTCTTGGTAGAGCATCAGTGGATTCTCCGAGTCCAGGCGAGTTATGGGGCATAAGAGCCCGTAGTGCACGAGGCAATTTTTGTGTAGCTGGAGCAACGTCTTTGTGTCCTGTGGGAGGTAGAGGTCTTGGCTTTGCAATATCTTGCTGGTTCATGACTGGTTGTGAGAGTTTGGTGACTTTAATCTCAGTCTGAGGAGGCGGAGTCACAGGTAGCTGGGGCACGAATTGTGCCTGATTGTACGTATTGTTGTGTGTTGACTTTGTGAGTGGTTCACGGTCGATGACTGGTTGGTATTTACGTAAGAATTTACGATTTCTGAGAGTGACACGACCGGAACCATCTACTCGAACCACATATTGATCGAATTGTCGCACCTCAATGACAACTCCAGTTTTGTCCCATTTTAGAGGGTGTGGGCCAGTCTGATTTTGGATGCGAACATGGTTGCCAATAGATAATGGTGGCAGAGATCGGGTGTGTTCGGTTAGGCGCTCTGCAGCTCTCATATGCCGATGGCGTAAGGCATATTCCCTGGCAATCAGTGTCTCGCGCCATGTATTATGTGGTTTGTATTTGCCAGGATGGATGGGGATGAAATCACGTATGGCACGGCCAAAAATGCACATAGCAGGAGATAAGCGAGTATCCCTGTCGGGAGTATTGCGGTACTGAAGTATCGCTCGTTGAAAATGATCGGTGTCGAGTGAGCCCTCTTCGTCAGTGTTATTGGTGATGAGACGTTTGATAGTTTTGACGGCAATTTCAGCTCGTGTGTTGCTGTGGGGGAACGCCACTGACGATAAGCGATGTTTAACACCCCAATTCTTGAGGAAAGTGGTTGTCTCCTTCGCAGTAAACTCTGGACCACCGTCAGAAGTGAGTTCGTCGCTAATCCCAAAAGTAACAAATGTTCGTCTTAAAGTCGTGATCAGTCCAGCGGCTCCTCCTTTCGCTTGTTCAACAATTGGCCAGTTACTGTATCTATCTACTGCCACCAAATAATGTTTACCTCTGTAGCTAAAAAAAATCCGCTGCCAGGCATTCAAAGGGATACATTGGTTGTAGAGGAGGAGTTGGTGGGGCACTAGGTTGTGAGGGGGCCATTCTGTTACAAGCTGAGCAGTTGTTGCGTAGCTTGATGATGGCATTAGTCATACCGGGCCAGAAAAAGGAGGATTCTGCACGACAACACATTGTTGATACTCCTTGGTGTGCAGAGTGTAAAGTTTTGAGTACCCTATCTCTTAAGGAGGGTGGAATGATAACGCGATCCTTGTAGAGACAGACACCGTCAAACTCTGAGAGATTGTCACGGTATTGATGAAAGGGGCGAATTTCAGTGTGGATATCTGCTGGTCGGTCTGGGAAGCCGTCTTGGATTTTGTCGATAAGAAAACGCATTGATGGGTCGCTGGCTGTGGCAAGCCGTATGTCATTCCATGTCACATTCTTGATGATTTCTTTTGTGGAATCGGTTGAATAAGAGCAGATTTCCGCTGTTTCGGGGTCGAATGTGCGAATGGCGGTGAAAATGGCGCCTGAGTCAACGTCGTCAGGAAGCTCCAACATGTTTGGTTCGCCAACTGGGTGGCGTGATAATGAGTCTGCAGCGACATTGCGAATGCCAGGCAAATGTACGACTTTGAATCTGTAGCGCAGACATTTCTCCTTGAGATTGCGAAGGCGAGGATTGGCAATGTCGTTTAAGCAGCGATCGCCCAAAACCTTTACTAAGGGCCTGTGATCAACAGCAATCATGAGATCTGAACAGCCTAGTACAAAGTGTCGTGCTTTGTCAAGTGCGTCCACGACAGCTAGTGCTTCCCCCTCAATTGGCCAGTAGCGAGATTCAGCCCCGGAGGTGAAACGACTGCCAACCAGTGTAATCTTCCAGCCAGTTTTACAACAGAAGGGTTTAGCTGAAGTGCATTCGCAATGTTTCTGCATTAGCCAGAAACCAACACCGTCCTTGCACCAGTCAGTTACAAGGCATGTGGGTCTTGACTTGTTAAATATCTCGACGCCCTTCTTGATCTCATCTACAATGACAGCCTTCGATTGCTCAAAAAGGTCGTCAAGTTGTTTAGTCCATACAAATGATGTTTTAGATTTGAGGAGAGATCGGAATGGTAGCATGTGTTTTGTGGACGCAAAAGCGTATGCAACTTGGTTGACAAGTCCAAACCAACTTCGAATGTCTGTAATGTTTTTTGGGGTTGGAAAATCTGCTATCGCCTGCAGTGTTCTTGAGCAAGGACGAACTGCTGTTGGTGTGATCTCGAAGCCAGCGAAAGCTACGATTGGTGATGCAAATTGGAATTTGGTGGGGTTTTGAATAATCCCATTTCGACCACATTTGTCTAGCCATTCGATTGTTTGAAAGAATGCTTCTTCCGTGTCATTGGACCATATGAGAGTGTCATCGACACATTTAGTCTTGTTGTGTATATCAGACACTATTTCGTCAAAACGACGGCTATACCCATCACCTGATGCGACGTATCCCTGTGGTGCTACGCAATAGCGATATCGGCCCCAGGGGGTAATAAAGGTGGTGTAGTGACGGTCACTTGGGTGTAGGGGCACTGCATGGTATCCATTCCATGCGTCGAAAACTGTCTTTAAAGTGTTTGGTGGGACCGCTCTAGCTTGATGAAATGGTGACTGTGTATGATGTGTTTCACGTGTAGAGTGTTTATTCAGTGCTTGGAGGTCGACCGTGCGGCGTGGTTTACCAGACCTTTTCGCGCAGATGACCATTCTGTGGCACCATGTTACAGGTTCACCAATTGGTACAGGTTCTATGACACCAAGTCTGCAATCCTGGTCCAGGCCTGACTTTACCTCATCTTGCCAGTGTATGGGGATGGGAATTGGTGTGTGGTGGGCGACCGGTTTTGCTTCTGGATCCACCATCAAACGTAAGGGAGGACCACTCATCCTTGGCAATGGTTGATGTTGACAAACGTTGAATGAGCTTGATGCGTAATAAGTGAGGATCCATTTTTCCAACTTTTCTCGGTTTTCGTGGGTGAGTGGAAAAGGTGCCGAGGTTGGGATTGGCGGAGGTGGTTCTCGTATAGGGCATCCGCAAGGAGCGACCATGTCCGATCCGGTGTGTATAGGAGACGAAGTTGTTTTAGACCTGTAACTCTCTTTATGTTCGCCAATTGTTGGGAAGGATCGAGATATGAGGCCGAGTGCTTTACAAGCCTGTTGAGATAGGTAGAGCCTATTCGTTGAGTCAGTGAAGTATACCAATTGGCGTGTTTCAATTATCGACGCGCTTGAAGGAGCTGATATTCTCAGCGAAAGTGCGCCTATGATCTGAATACGACGGCAGTCAGCTGCACTCATCTGCAATTTTACTGGGTTCAGATGCTGTGGGCCAAGACCCAGCTTTTCCAGTAGATTGATGCCAGCGAGGCATGACTGGCAGCCAGTGTCAGCTATGGCAGGGAATGTGACAGAACGTGTTGGGTTTGAAATTTGAGGGCTTGAGCCAATGAGACGAGTATCAGATGGGTCATGGAGGATTGAGACATTAACACTTGGCTGTGGGTCAGAGGCTCTTCTTTCCCAGATATCACACAGTTCGTTATAAATGTGATGGTCAAGTGTGACGCTGCTGGCCTCTGGACTTTGGGAAGAGCTGTCATCTACTGAGCAAAGTGTTGCAAGGATAGAGGCCGCGTCTTCAGTGTTTCCAGAATCATTGTGAGCTTTTCGTTTTGGGGAAGGAAAGACCTTACGATCCCGTTGTCGCAATTTCCATTCAGGTTGGCGGCATAAACTTCCAAAGTGATTTTTGATCCCGCATCTTGAGCATGTTTGGCCATATGCTGGACAAGATTTAATTCGATCTTTGTTGCTTCCATGCTTAGATTTCCCACAGTATTCGCAGGATTCGCGTTTGTCACGAGCCCTATCCCGTTGCTTTCGCTGGTAAGAGCTGTTTATAGCAGCAGAGGTGTCATGTTCGGTGAGGCGATGTGCTGAGCGTTTGCCGCTTTCTTTTGCCTCGATGAATTTGATGGATTCCTCTAAAGTTATTTCCTCGTCGGCCTGTGAGAGGAGATCAAGACGGATGTCGTCATCATAGAGGCCCCAGACAAGTGCGTCACGAATCATGGCGTTACTGTAGTCTACATGTGTTTGGGGGTCACATTGGCATTTAACATGAAAGCGGCAAGTGCTAGCTTGCCCACGCAGTCGTGCCACGAATGCTCGAATAGGCTCGTCTCGATCTTGTTGGAGCTTGTGTAGTTGAAGTCGAGCTACCAAGATGTTCTCCTTTCTGATCGCTAGAGACATTATGTTTTTTAGGATTGTGTTTTCATCTGATGTCGATAAATCATAGTATGTTCGTGTGAGGTCTCGTCGCAAATCTTCAGTACAGCAGTCTAAAAGTTGATAAGTAATATCAGGATCAGTTATTCTTGAAGCACATTTATATTCCTTCCATCTTTGTAAGAAATAAGTCCACTCCTCTGCAGTGCCTCTCGGTGCGATGGTTGGACGTTTTGGTTTTTCTACTCTTACAGTCTGGTTGATAGGAGTAGAGTGTAGGGCTTCCTTGTGGAGCTGAAGTAAGGCTACTGCTGCGTTATAGTCTGCATCATCAGGTGTAGAGTAATCACAACCGGTCCATGGGCATTGTACAGAAGGCATCGTTTGATTATGAGCATAGATAACTATCACTCACACACAAATAGAATCAATAGTCATGGGACATTTACTGTACATTTATTAAACAGTAATGCTCATAATAACTGTAAACAGAAAGAAACGAATGTTAATATATGCATGTAATGGGGATAATTATATAAAAATGAGGAAAATCTGAATAAAATTATGGCCTAACCCTAACCTGGTACACATACTACGGTAGTACTTTTTAAATGACCTGGGTTCTTGTTTTTGCGGTATCTTATACTTTCAAATTTTACAAATACTTCTGCCAGGTATCTCAACCTTCGCAACCACCAACAACACAGAGAATTACTTTAGAAGGGGTCAACGGCCAACAAACTTACACACTCACCCCCACAACACCCCCAACAGCAGCCCCAATTCAAGTCTACATCAAGCAAGAATCACCCACATATCAATCAGCTCCATTAGTCAACGGATTTATTCAATCATCTCCACAAAGTGTTTTATCTAATCAGAAGGTAAAATATAGTCGGTCATGTTTTAACTTAATACAGTAACAGTATCTTGGATGCAATACGGCTCAGTTAGGTTTCTGTATCGTTAATAAGTGTTTCATTCATGTTTATATACCTTATATATCTTCTTTTTATTAAATACTTTGAGTGGGTATCAATCCTTCAATCTCTATTCGTTCTATCCCCTTTTTATTTTTTTTTGTTGGCTTCGTTATTGGTTAATAGAAGTTGAGCATTCTTTAATCAATTCTACATCAAGAATTTAGATTTAGGTATATTATGTCACTTTTATTTTTTTTACACTTTTACTATTTTTACATTGTCTTCATGATGTCAACCATCATAACTGAATTCTAGATAATCCATCTATCTGATTATGGATTTCCATAATTCTTTTTTCAATTGATTATTCGAAAGGGAATTATATTATGATTTATTTTTCAGGTGTACGTTACAACAGGTTCAAATTCTAATGTTACGTCAGCTCCATGCATATCCATTATTAAACCTGAACAATTGTTATGTAACAATGGACAAACAATCGTTATACAGCAACCTCAACAACAATCTTCTTTACTAAAACCAGTGAATATATCAAACATGAAACCAGGTTGGAATTTTATTTTGAATTCTTCGACTTATTTTTTTGCTATGAACTTAGCGTAAAGCAAGGTCACACAGACTCACTTGTAGTTTAGAGAGATTGACTCTGAGCACAGTTACGGGGATTCACTAAAATGCCAGGAGCTCTTAAAACTTTAGGAAATCTATCATAGAGTTGCACATAAGTAAATGCAAATTGATGCAAGATTTTTAGTGAGGGCCTAGCAGCTGAAACAGACAAACTGTGTAACTCTCATGCTTATCCTCAGGGTATAATAAATTGGATCTTGTCCTTCGAAATTTTTTTACAGAAATTCATGGTTTGTACAGAGCCATGTTTGGAGCGAAAGGTATAAAAAGGGCAAATAATAATTTGAATTTTACTGCAAAAAATGGTGCATTCGGTAACCGTACATTTGTATATCCGCGAGTTCAATCTATATGCGGGTGCTAAAATAATTTTAGTTGTAATTTTACTACATTCTCAGGTACAGAACCAATGCTGCTTTCTCAGTCTGATTTATCACGTCTGGCTGCTCAAGGTGTCATTAAATTCCCGACCAAAAAAGTTGAACGGAATTTAATGCCGGTTTCTGATGAAAGTAAAGTGCAATTGAAAAGTAAGTTTGGACATTATCATTGTTGCATAATATGAAATTTATATTGTTTTTAGCATGGCTATAATTTGTTCGAACGGATATTTAATTTTGGTCATTCCTGCGTATAACCTAATTAGGCCAATGCACTTTGAATTGTTAATTAACAGGGGAATCAAAATCATTGTCACAAACATCCAAAGCTATCACTCCTACAGTATGCGATATTCTTCCATCAGAAGCAGCAGGAATTATTAACGGTACTTCAGTGTTTGTGCATGGTACAAACAATCAACCACAACGTGGAGAATTAGATGTAAGTGTGTTAATTTTATTAACATAAATCTTTATGGAAAGGTAATAAATTATAGACAAAATTTCTCTTCGATTTGAGCTTATATAATATGTATTGTGTTTTTCGCTTTAGGTAAAAGCACTAAAACGTCATCAGCGAATGATTAAAAACAGAGCTTCTGCTTGTGAGTCAAGGCAAAGACGAAAAGAGGTAAAATGGATGAATTCTATAATCTGTATAGCATGTTATTTTTACACATTGTTGGTAATTTTTTTGGCGCTCCAGAAGTGTGTGTACCAATAGGGAAGTAACTAATTTTGTTTGCCTACTTTACGTCGAGTTGTATAAAGGGGCTGAAGCCCATGGGCATGGGATATATTCACTTGGCTAACACAAACAGTCCCAAACTCGTAATAGAACTAAAATAAGGAAAATCAATGAAAATACTTATGGCCTAATCCTAACCTGGTACACACACTACGGGAGTACCTTTTTTATATTATGTGTTATCCTACACGACCAATCATGGAACAGTGCATTTTTTATAATCCTTCAGTATCTGAAAACATTAGAAGACCAAGTTTCTGAAGTAGCAGACGAAAACAAAGGTCTCAGAGAAGAAAATAACTGTCTTAAAGCAAGGCTTAGAGAATTGGAAATCGAGGTGGGTTGCGTATTAACTAGAATTTTCTAGTTGTATATGAATATTCGTAGTTTTTAAATATTTTATATGGTATGTTACAGAACCAGAATCTGAGGAATATCATCAATATAACACAATCAAAGCAAAAGAAAGCTGCTTGTTTATTAATGCTCATGCTATTTATCGGAATTAATTTCTCTCCTATTGGGTAAGTAATCTAATGTCTTCTGCATTATTTTAGAGGATAAGCTACTATGGGTAATAGTTTTTTTATGCAAGCGTTTCGTGTCTTTAATCTGAGCAAAGTTTTATGCAAGAGACCATTGTTTCTGAGGGATCTCTGGCTTAAACTCATGCCCAGTACTCACCCATGGTATCCCAAATTTGGGTTGGTAATGCCAAAACTGGAGAGATGCCAATTCTTACTCACATGGTATGTGTCAGTGCCTTGTTAATATTATGAAGGCCTGAACACTATAATATTTATGAATATTATATGTCTTATGTGTTTTGTAATCGTAACAGGTTAGACTCAAAAATATTAATATTGAGATATGCCTGAATATTATTTATCAATAAGCTGAAATATTTTTATTCCGATAGGCTACTCTGCTTGGCAAACTTAGGATATGATTTTCTTGTTTATCCAAGTAAATGTATGCCCTTCGGGCATCCTGCAAGGGGCGACAGCCTGACAGGGTGCTCGAATGTCTTTGATGATCAAGCCGTGAACGTGCAGACCGCTACCTTTCGCTACCTATCACCACCCCTTCATCACTGTCGTGACCCTCCAAGAATAGCCATTTCAGTTCAAAGTGTATCAGCGTCGATTTGTCGAAGCAAATGAATTGCCAGTTGATCATGTGGGGGCGTTTGTCCATTTTGGGTTTACCAGGCATTCATTTCATGGCAGGTACCATTTTGTTTATCTATATTTATTATGAATTTCAGGTTATTTGGAAATTCTGACGAGACCAATAATGATCCGTTTGTTGGAAGTTATCCCAGTAATGGTTTAGCTATGCCAGTATCTGGCCAAAGTTCCGTTCGATCTGGAAGGCATTTATTATCAATATTAAATGATAACGACGATAGCGGTAACAATAATTCGGTGAAAATGAGCAAAGCAACATCAAATAGCAATAAGATTAAAGCGGATGATAAAAGTTTAATTCCCTCCAAAACGGAAAGTTATTGGATGGATGATCTTGTCCAAGAATATAAAAACAAACACCTTGAAAAGTAAGAATATTTTTTTTTTGTTCAAAGCTATTATGAATTCAACCATTTTGTTAACCTTAAATTAATTTTAATTGAAAGCCAGCTGATTTATTTTAAAAGTAATGTATTTTACAATATAATACAGAAATACATTTATGTTATTGTGCAGCAGGACTCTTGGATTGCATTGTATTAACCAAATAGATTTTAAAATCAATCGTCCACATAGCTATTCTTTCATAGAATATTTTAAATATCGTAGTTCATATTGTCTCTGACAATGTGTTTGTCTACGCAAAATTTCCATCATTTGTTAGTCTTTGGACCAGTGGTTCTCAAACTTTTTAACTTGCGCCCCCTTTTTTAGAAATTGTCGAGTCTCGCGTCCCACCTCAAAAATAACTAACTAACAATAAGCTACAATCAAAAAGCACGTTGAAAATACATTGATGGAACGTAAATATCCAAAATAAAAAAATGTAAATATCTAAAAAAGGCAGGCAAGATCAAATCTGACAAATATTTTCATTTTCAATTAGCTTCGAGTCCTCTCAAAAAATTGTCTAAGCTCACCCCTCTTGTGCGGCGTGCCCTATCGTATGATAACCAATGCTTTGGACCATATTCATTATCATTTTCATACTTTCTAGTTGATGAGATGAATGGGCTCAGTTTTTTGATTGTTAACTAATAATAATAAGTTCAAATGTTCACAAAATATTCAAAAATTTGGCTCAACTCTGTTGGTAGATAATCTCTATTAGCTCTTTTCTCATTGTTTTAGTTTTCTTCGTCTTTTGAGTGAAACAACATCAAACTCAGTGAAACGTATGTTGAGAAGAAAACTGAAAGAAGAATTAGGAATCTCTATTCCTTTACCTGTTCCACGACATAGAAGGATATCATACACTCGTAAGTTAATATTGATTTATTATATCAAACACATACCAGACAACAGTGAATGAATTATATTATGAGCAGTCACTAGTGGATGATCATTTAGGCATGTTAGGTTCTTGATTTTCATTACTGTTAACATTCTATTGAATTAATTTATACCAATGAATTTTCTTTTTTCGAGATAGAAAATGGCTATTACACTATATTGAGATATAAAAATCGATTTGGGAATCAAGATGATTATTGTCTAAATATACAAATATGCCATCCTGGATATTTTATTCATGTATATGTTCTAGGCCAGTGGTTCTCAAACCGTGCAGCAAAGAGAACTATTTGACAGGGCGTGAAGCTAAAAATATTTCTTAGAATTGATCTCGCTCGCCTTATTTTGGATATTTACATTTCTTTATGCTTTAGGGATTGCGATTCCATCCACGTATTTTCAACATGTTTTTTGAATGAATCATACTTTCGCCGTAATATCTGTTATCTGTAGCTTATTGCTGGAACCACCGTTCCAGGTTATTAAAATAATCCATATCGAATAAATTGCCTGACACAATAATAATAGATAGGTCTATTTAAAGAAGAAGAAAAAACAATTTTAACATTTTTCGTTCACAAAGTTTCAAATGTAAATGATTTCAAGTACTCTGTAAGCTACATTTGTATATTTGTCTTCAATGCTTTACTGCTATACTGAAATGAAAGTTCTTATGTTTAACGATTTTTATAGCTCGTGTTGCGAAACAAAGAGCAGACAGAAACACCATGGCGAAGTCGACCATAAAATCAACAAATGAAAAGGTATTGTAACTTTAATGGCGTCTTTTTTTCTAAAAAATGTAAGAAATCAGAATAAGACGGAATGTCGGAGATTAATTAAAAATATTCAACAAAAATTTTTTTTTAAATTTAATTTTATCTAATTTTATGAAGTTTATTTTAGCCTATACAATAATTTTTGGATTTTTTTTCATGCTTGACAAATTTATTGTCCATTAATTGAATTACACCGAGATAATTTCAAAATATTGTAACGGTCTTACTTGGGTATATGAAGTATACTGGAAATCATTTCTGTATCGGGTATATTGCGAACATTTAATATACCACAGCTATAGCTGGTATTCAGAATGATTGTCTTAGGTGCACAGGTTATTTCCTGTATCATATTGCTTTTTGCTAAGCATCCTTCCTTGTCTTGCGGGTACAGGATCTCATACTATGCCACAGGAAGTTTTGTAGTATGAATGTTCATTCATAATCTTATCTATTATTCAAGCTTGGTTTATATAAAATTCACACCCAGGAATTGCCAAAATGAATTATTCTGCTATCCTGAAAATATAGAGTATCCAGAAAGTCTTAAAAAAAAACAATTGCAAAGGGAATTTATCGATACCTTATATTGTTTTGACCTTCACAGATGTATTAAATGAAGTAAAAATACTTAAACAATTACTGATTAAAAAACAACAAACCTGGTTAAGATATATTAGGAACTGATTTCATAACATAATTGAAATTGTAAAAGGACTTTATGTGGCCCCTTTATTATGGAAATTTAATATCGCATATTTTTCAATATTTGTCAACAAATTCCCAACATTCACGATGCTGATTCTATATTTTATTTTTGTAACAGAACGACCTTACTTCAAGTATATCTCCCATCATGAGGGGTGAAATGAAGATGCCAACATCTTTGCCTCAACCCTGCGAACAACCTCACGTTCAAGACCAATCTCCTGCGCTCAATGAGACCGAAACCATCAGGTATGAGGGAGTGATCGTAGATTGCCAATATACTATTATACTGAACAATACCTTTTTTCAATTTTTTCATTCCTGAAATGAGATTCAAAATCTATTTCAAATCAGGTGGATATCATATGATAACATTTTTAACAGTGGAAATGAAAGCCAATTAGACAGCTTAATTGTACAGTCAGACATGAGAATTTTTTCCAATTGATCGTTCCAAATTCGTAAATAAATTATTAAGATAAGGAAGAGGAAGCAATAAGTGAACAGATGTGCTATCCAGATGATCCAACCCATACAGCAAGGAGTCCTGCAATCTTTGCACACATATCCTTTCCTTGCAGAAGTCGACTATTTAGTTCCACAGACAGTAAAATTTAGAATTCAACGGGATAGGATTTACAAATTTATCCGAGGGGGGGGGATAAGTCGGCTCAATCATATGGCGAACCACCGCCTCTCGTCCGGTTACCAGTCCTTGCCCAGTATGGGATTAATTAACCAGGTATTTGTTTCCAGATTCATGCGTGGTAACAGTTGAATGGTCAAATGCTAATATATACATGAATTTGTAGTTATGCTTTGTTTGGTTATAATTAAATCAAACTCTAAACAATCGGCAATGGATTTTGAAAGCCACATAAAATGTACGGTTGAATTCTAAAACTTTATTTAAATTTTTAAAAAATATATAGATCCTGAAAAGCAATTATGAGCTCTGGTAAATAATATAACAGTTTCATTTGTTAGGAGTTAGGATTTACCATATCTATGATTTTTAACCTGAAACAAATAGTTAAAAATATCATATGTCACAGCTCACAGGGTTCATTCAGCCACATGAAAATACCCTTGCTGTTATAAGTTGTTTCTAGTCATTGCCATCTGTTTATTATTTTAATATCTTATTTGATTTTTGTTTGTAGAGTCAATGATGATTTAACTCAATGGGCCAAACGATATTCTGTTGACAGACAAGAGAAAGCACAAAAGAAAGCCCAAACCAAAAAGGTGACTTCTCCAATTCTAACTATGATTGATTTAATTCTGAATAACGCCATAGTATTTGATCTCATATTTTGTCTTTTCCTCAAGAAAATTGTTACTTTGAATCATTTTTGGCATAATAAAATTTTGATTAAATTTCACTGTAAATGTTTTTAAGTTAATCAATTTTAATCAATTTTTCTTTCTATATTCCTTGTTCCCTTGCAGATACATGTTATATTTATTGCAGCTAACTTCTAGTAAATTGTACTGTCATTATTATTATCACCTAACATTATTCTTACCTTCTAGCTGGTGGAGAAAAAAGTTAGAAATACCAAATCGCCATCTTCGAGATATGACGACTTTGAAAAGTAAGTAGAGTGTCCTATGAGAAATGTACTGCCTGCTTGTCATGATTTCCATGTATGTTGTTTAGTTTTTATTCTGCATTCTGCATTTTCGTACCGAACATGGCCACTGATTTGTACCACTCTTCAATGGTCTGAAATCTTTCCAGTTGGACATGGCCGACAGTGGGATTTTGACCCGAAATATTGAAACTGCAATGCCAATATAAGTATTTCAATTCTCGTCAACCACAGGCAATCATTCTGTTCATTTACACTTCCGTAAGCAAGTCGTTGCGTAAACAATAATGCAATATACACACTTCAATATTTTTTTTGTAAATATTCCTCTCTTTTTTGGAATAGTTTGAAAAATTATCTCTTTGGGCAGTTAGCCTCACAGTTTCAATCCAAAATGATAAAAAAAATGGTGTATCAATCAAATCTTGATTATCTTAATTTTCCTGCATTTCCAAATTCAAACCTTCTGAATAAACATCTTCCATGTGTTCCTCGTTTAACATGGGTAATACTTTGGAATGTTTTCAGAACAGTCAGTTATTCAGTATTGGTCATTCCTGGTTGAGATAATAAATTTAGATTAGGATTCAGTAATATATATAAATACCTTTCATTAAACTATTTAGAAATTTAAGTTATTTATGTATATCATTTTTTATTTCACAGTTCCACTTCTACGAATGAGATTGCAATTTATACAAGACCAAATCAAAAATTTGATGATTTTTTTGAAGCCATCAGCAGGAGAAATGACACTTTCTATGTTGTCTCGTTAAATCGGGTATAGTAATAGTATTATAACAAGTTATACAATTATAAATTATTTGATATAAATAGCTTTTTTAGTTTCAATTTTTTAATCAAGATTTTATAAAATATCATATATGTAAAGCGTAGCTATGGTATTGCTTAGTGCAATTTACTTGACTAGTTTTTATGAAAATGTTATCTTTTTTTCGTAACCGATAGACCTGTCGGTTCTGAATTTCAATACTTTAAGACGAAACAAGTCGCTAGAAGTCTATTATTTTATCTTCTATCATCAAATTCTTTGGAAGTCTGATACACCCCAAATAACATTTGGTGCAATTTTTTTAACATTTGGCTTGAATTTTGCAGTCACGGTGGTAGCCATTTGACCACCATGCTCAAATATTTGCATTGTTCAATTATTTTTCCCCTTTATATTAAAGTAAATTATTGAATGTTGGTATTTTTGTACAGGACCATTTATTATTGCCGGCATCTGTTCAAAATACTTCATCAAGAATGAAGATGGCTCTTGTGATGCCTGCTGTCACCTCCAAAGGTATGACAGTTTGGTATTTTCATTGATAGTTTTCATTTTCTAATTTCAATCGGGATGGTAATTTTCATTTGGCTAAAGCAGGGTTGGTTACTTAAATTTTTAAAGAATAAAATAATGTTTTAGAATATGGGTCATTGAATATCCTCTAAATTGGGTCAACAAAGAGCTTATTGAAGTCGATGTAAATTCAAAGTTCTGATTGTAACAGTATTTCATTAGTTCAAGACTTCAGTTGCTGAAAATTCTTGAAGCCTTGAGAAGTTGCTGGAAATTTTTTTGTGTTTGATAGATGAATTTTGTTATATTGTATCAAATTCAATATGGCAATGACAAATCAAAATTTTGTGTTAATTGACGTTATACTAGCCAAACAGTACCTTGTGTTTATGTAATATCTCCCTGCTCCTACTGGTTGTAAATTAACAGCATCAACTATTTTAAGGTGGTTCTGCACATGATCATGTATCAGATGAATATGAAACAATGATTCATATTGAATGTGAGGTTCTAAACACAAGGATGTTCGACTTGAAACGGAAAGATGTTCCCGATTATCTGAATATTAACCCTAACATAAAGACTATAGGTAGGTAACTAATACCACTTGAAGAAGCTTTAAGTAAGGTTGGTTTATAGCAGTGGTTCCCAACTTGGAACTCTTCATTTTCCCCTCAATGTACATAAAAACTACTTTAATTGCTCGATTTTTAATGAATCCTTAGTCATTATTCGCACTCGCGCTTCTGTACAGTTCAAGTAGTTATGATGTGCCTAAATAAGCTTTCTAGTAGTAATAATAAGAAATATAGAATATTAGTGGTTGTACTACAGCAACTACTAAGCAAAATTTCCTCTTGAGAATAAAAAATTCTCCCCTGGGTAGGGAATTCCTCCTCGATTGGGAAACGCTGGTTTATAGCATGTCGACTATGTCAAATTTTCACAGACAATGCAGCGAATGATACATTATCAAGCGATAAGGAAGGTCCCACAACAAAGAAAAGAAATATAAAAAGGAATTCGAAAAAAATTTGGAAAAAGTCAACTTCTACAAAGAAACAACGAAAAATTAAAGGTATGTATGTGTATTTGAGTTACTTTTGGACAAAAAACTCTTGTTATCTTTTAAGGAAGCAACCAAGTGTAATCCTCACCCTTCTACAAGTTGGTTGGTACAAAACAGCTGAACTTATGACAAATACTAATTTAAATAGAATTAAGCGGAAATCCTAAAATTTAATATTAAAAAACTATTTTAATATTTGAACTATAGAGTTTTGGAAGTAAATAATGTTGTCTTTTCATAAGAGTCAATTACTTTTTCCTATAAGCCTATTTTGTTTGAGTATTACATCCCTTGATACTGAATATTAGGAGAAAAGCACTTGCTTTTCATAAATTGCTTCAGCAAAGTATTTGGAAGTGTGTGTACCAATATGGAGGTAACTAATTTTGTTTGCCTTTTTTACATTAAGTTGTGTAAAGGGACTGAAACCTATGGGCAGGGAGTATATTCATGTGGCTAACACAGATAATAGAACTAAAATAAGGAAAATCGGATTAAAATCATGCCCTAACTCTAACCTGGTACGCACACTACGGGAGTACCAAGTATTCAACCACATACTGAACACTAAGTAGTAGTATGTCACCTTACAGTGAAATGTATATTCAAAATGACTTTTTTTCAAAGAGAAAGAAAAAACTGAAGAACAGAAAAATCAAGAAGAAGATGCTTTTGTTTCTGATGTCACGGACCACGATCGTTTCTATGAAATTCCCCCCACATAACAAATGAATTATTCAAATATCACTTTTCAAGGATAAACATGAAATAAAGAATGATAATGAAGCACGAATGACTTGTAGTACAGAAATTTTTTTTTTTTCTCAATTTTTTTCTGGATTAATAATATTAAAAAGCTCGGAATTACTCTATTGTAGTGGTTATCAAACTTTTTAAGCTGAGCTTCCTTTTTAGAATTTGTCAAGTCTCGCGCCCCACCTTGAAAAATATTAGCTAATAATAAGCTACAAATAACAGATTTGAAGACGAAAGTATGTTTTACTCAAAAAACACGTTGATGGAGCGGGAACAATAAAATAAATGAAAAGTTTTGAAATGTAAATATCCAAAATAAGGCGGGCAAGATCAAATCTAACAAATATTTTTATTTTCAATCAGCTCCACATCCCCTCAAAAAAATTGTCTACACCCTCTTGTGGGACGCGCCCCACCGTTTGATAGCCACTGTTCTAATGTAACCTGATACCAGGTAGGCAACAGAGACGAGACCCCACCACACAAGTTAGTTGAAATGTTGTCTGGCCCTATCACAATATCTGAAACTTTTTTTTCCTAACAAATGAATTTAAAGTGCCTTCAAATTTAAAATTTTCAATCACATGAAATTAATGGAACATTTTTCGAACTCGATGTCAACTCGAATTAGCTCATTTTTTTTTTATCTATTTTAACCACTGTGTTGTCGATTTTGTTTTATTGAGATTGACTGAAAACAATCATAAACACACTGAGTACCCTGACAACCTCAGTAACCTATAATGAAATAGATTTTCGTTTGTCAAAAACCTGTTATTTCATGAGAATTCTGTACATATTTTATGAAGTTGAATAGGCATTGAAATATTTTACTTGTTTTTTCATGGTGATTTGCAATTTTATTTCGATTGGCCTTGTCTGTCTAATTTTTTTATGTTAAAAATTTGCTGTTTTGTAACAGAGTTGAGTTTATCTTCTTGCTCGTTTCTTCTTGTGAATTTGAATGAATGAATCTTCAAAGACAACTGATTTATTCCATTAATTGACAAGATTTTCATATTTACCTTGAAAGTACGGGAAATTAATAATAGGACTTTATTGTATAAAATTGTATCCTTCAGTTCCATTTTCATATGTGTTGGATTATTGAGAAAACCGTAACTGGTAAATGGTTTTAAATATCATCCTATGACGGCAAATGTGTTGATAGGTCAAATATTGTTTCCTTATTGAGTCTTTAATCGGTTCTACAGCGCATGTTTTAATTTCCAGAAGTACTCATTTTACAGGAGTAAGCAGAGAAGTACAACTCTTTTCTGATTATGCCCTAATTTTTTCTCAAAAATTATTAGTTCTCGTTCTAGACTACTTTTTAAAATAGTTTTTTTTTTATAGTTATGTTGTGGTAAATTCAGGCAGAAATTCTGCTTCTAAATAATTGTTTTATTTGTCTATCAAAAGTAGACATGCCATATATTTGAAGCATATTTTTTACCCGTAATATTTGTTTATCAAGCAAAAACAAAAAAAATCTATATAGAATCATGATAATATAATTGTATATTCATAAAGTTTCAACGGTGCTATAATATATTATATTTCATTTTTGCTTATTCATTTTTATTTTGAATGTTGGTGTTGTAGCAATTTTATTTTTTAATTTCTCGTGAGTATTGTATTCGTTTTGTATCTTCAGAAATGTCAGACGATACTACACAGTTGTTGCTATTATATCACATACATGATCTTGCTTCAATTTTTTTTTATTTTGGGCATGTTGGCAGGACATTCATTGTCTTACTTGACTAATTTTCAACATTCTGCCTAAAATGTGTCAATTCTGTCTGCTATTTCTCTGAATCCTAATTATGAAACACATACATCTTGTGGACTCAGTCAAACTTGGTCTCAAGTGGAAGTTCTGTTGTGAGCACCTTCGCTATATTTTTCGATTTAATATTATATTAGGCGGAATAACTGAAAATTAATTCAAATCTAAAAAATCTGTGGTCTCAGTTTGGGAATTAAAAATATCAAATTCCTTTATGTTTATAATTACAAGAATTTACCTAGATATGTTTAATTGAAATCTGCGTAAATATATTACAGAAATATTTTAAAATTCAGCAAATTGTATTTATTGTTGTTGTGATCATCTATGCTTGTTTGTGGTAGTTGTACGAATCTGTGATTATTCTTTGATCGTTTATGAAGTAGTACGGAAATAAACAGCTTCAAGCAAATGCAGGAGTTTTAGTATGTGAGCAAATCCAACTGTCTGCTTTAGTCAGATCATTGTGCTGTAAGTCTAGAATTGTGGTTCCCAATCTTTTTTTTTTCGTGACCCACTTTTGTTGCATAAAAAATTCTGTGGCCTATCTACTTTCTTATGCAAGAGAAAAACTACCAGAAAAACAAGAAATTTTTTTCCCAAAGATAGACACTTCAAATAATTGAAATGAGAATTCCGCCCAGAGCCAAAAAGCAGCAGCATCATTCATTTCAGTCAAAGCTCAACCAATTTATCAATAACTATGCCAATAGGTTTGTGGCCCACCTGAAAATGACTCCGTGGGCCATGGCCCACTTGTTGAGATTTCAGACCTAGAGGATAAAAGCAAACGGGTAAGGTTCTCCGCAGCTGACGACGACCGTTACGTTTGTTGTTCCGAAAGTTGTGTATTAGATTAATGTAGAGCGTGTAATGCAAATGAAGCTTACGTAGTTATACATTAATAAATATCACGTTTACCTAATTTGTTTTTGTCATGTCATCTTATACTACGTTCTCGTATTATTATAAAGCTTTGGGTCGGCATGGTTCTCGGAATGTTGGAATACGTTTGGTAGGGAATTCGATTCAAAAGAGAACCTACTCTTAAATTTTGAATCCCATCACACGTTCCCTGACTTTTTTATGGCAACTAGTGGGAAACGTGAATGCTGTAGTGACTTAATTCTACATAAGCTGTATACAGTGATGAGATTCAAATTTTTTGTCAGCCGGTTCCATCACACAAATGTCATATTTTTCAGCCGGTTCTGTTACAAAAGTCATGTTTTTTCAGTAATGCCAACCGTTCTTTGATCTCATAAAATTCCGTGAGAGGGTTCTATAGAACCGGTGCGAACCGGCTGAATCCAACTACTGGCTGTATACCATTTGAGAATACATTTATTCGTGTTTCAGCGCCATGCAGGCGAAACGTGGCCCTGGTTCCCTGCTTGGCGTTGTCATATAAATTGTAAACAAAAAAAGACGCGTTTTTATGATTGTCGCGCTGAAAGGTTTTAGGAATTGTGGGTAGGCTGCATGCTGTAATGATACTACATTTTGTAAACTTCGTGGGAAGTATAGATGGTGTGTTATATTTACGAGCTTTCATAAAAATAAAATCATTGAATGAAAAAACTTGTCGCCAAATTTGATTGAACGTAGCTTATCTGGCTTACAGTGTCATTCTTATGCGCAAAACACATCAATGCTATCATTGCAAGTGCAAACTTCCCATATGACGTGTCTGGCTAAGCATACATAACAACGCAATCAAGAATGAATGATCCGCGCGTATGTATGTCATGTTGTTTTATTTCGTCATCGGAAGTGTTGTTAAAAGTTTCAGAGCGAGAGCATGTCTGACCAATATTGTTACAGTCAAGCCGGTCAAGCAGCCAGCAGTGATCAGACTTCAGCCACACTCTGAAACAGTAGCCTATTTAGTAAAAAGCAACGTACCGATATTTAAAAAAAATACATTCAAGTTATTTCTATGAACTCACAAAATACCAAGCTATGAGTGAAACGTAGGCTACTCTGATATAGAATATCGCGAAGTAGGTCACCGAGGTCTTATATAATTCGACGAAGCAGTGAAAGAATCGAAAATGCGATGACCTAGATTAGACGAAGCGAGGTAGATAAAGCTCAGGAATTATATAATTGAACAATTATGTTGAAAGAAAGTACAGCTTACCGAAATGCTATGCGGAAATCTACATGAAATTGAGGCCAATTCATATGAAGTTGTAAGGGGAAGTGGTGTGCTATGGCGCTTCTCTGCTTGTTCTATTCTCTTGTATTAGTTGAAGTATTTAGCGGAATATCTCAATATAACTACTTTGGAGGGTAATAATCACTGTCGATTCAAGACCCAATTCAACTCACAACTATGTTTTTTACCATTGTTTTTCGTGTAAGCCCTCATATACTTGCATTTTTATTTAGTCTGTATAATTAATTTGTAGTTTTATTCGCAATAAATATCAACTGTAAATACAGAAACGATTATAAATCAGTATATTTATTATATAAATGGCATCGTGCATATTTGATGACGACCTGAAAGGCAAAAATGAAAAGCTCGAACTCGAACGAATATCTAACGAGGCGGATATGTCGATAACAAGTGAAAATTTCAGCAAATTTCTTGACGAAAAACATCCTCTCTCGTTTTTAAGGGAAGAGTTCATATTTCCATTAATTAAATACAACGAAAATGGTGAGCATTTTATTATGAAACATTGTGTAGAATGTAGATTATGCTTGTACTCTACCGATTTATTATGAATCATCTCAGCATGTATATTAATGCTATGAATGTAACTTACAGCCGATTCTTCTCTTGTAAACGTAGACGAAAAATGCATTTATATGTGTGGTAATTCACTGGGACTCCAGCCAAAGAGAACCGTTGAGTTGTCACAGCAGGTAATCATTTACGGGCATAATCTCTAAGCTAAAAACCTATATAAGTAAGAAGTACCACAGGTAGAAGCTAATAATGATCCAACGAGCTGGTCAACAAGTAATTTACAAAGCAACTTGACATTATGTACATAAGATACACGCAATTGTGTATTGTATTTAACGAGTTTTGTATTGTAGTTTATTAACTATACCCACACATCTACCAGATATATTTAAGGATATAGCGTAGATGAAAAACCGACCTGAAACTATATACATACAGAACATTTTATTTTGCAATTGCTTTTGACCATTTTTAGTATTGAGGGAAATCAGCTTTGTCTTACATCAGATATTTATAATATATAATGCCACTTAAACTACATTCTTTGTATTACGAATACAAAATTACCGTTGTATTCCTCGTGAAAATAGTAATTACTTCATTTACGAAATAGGTACTTGACATGATGGCTCAAGATGAAATCTTGTCGGGGGAGAAATGCTATACCAAGCCTGATCCAGACATGATGTCACAAATGGCAAAAATAGTTGGCGCTAATGTCGACGAGGTGATACTTTTTTGAATAAGATTAATTAGAATGGTATTGATTATTCTGAAATTTCAAGCAAAGCAAAATAGGAAAAAAACAATTGACAGAAGATCTTATTTACAAAAAAGTGATCCGGAAGTCATCCGCATAACGATGATGAAACTATAATATCAATTGCCGTTTGCCGTAATGCAAATATTTATCTTACTAGCAAATTTTCAAACCTGAACCTTCGGTCGTATTGCAAGCTTTCATTTTGTGGATTCCGGAAATTATCATAGCGCGAGCATTTGCATTTTAGTCACTTATCAAGCCTTGATAAATTTTAGTTTCACAAAGTTTTCGTGTGGGAGAAAGAGCCTGAACAAAAACATACACCACATGGACTATCTACTATTATGAATAACTATATAAAATAACAATACATCAAGTTCCCTTTTATGTATAGATCGCTGTTATGAATGGACTAACAGTAAATCTCCACTTGTTATTGGTGTCATTTTATCGACCAACCGCGACACGACACAAGATTTTAATTGAAAGCAAAGCATTTCCATCAGATCACTACATGGCGGAATCCCAGATACAATACCATGGGTTTGACCCAAAAACTAGTTTGATAACATTGGAGCCTCGACCAGTGAGTTTTTTTCTTTTGTGCTTGCTTGATGGTGATACCATACAAATTTTTTCATTACAAAGTCTACTATTTTGACCAACCATATTTGACGTGCTCATTGGGCCATAGTTTTTAATGTAATATGAAGCCTTTATGTTCATATTTTGTGACAAGATGGCATTTAGTGGAAACTGGATTAATTTTCAATATGTACCATATAAAGCAGTGGTTCTCAACCCCCCCCCCCCCCGTAACGTGAAGTAACGTAACAAATCAAGCAACATAATGGTCACCATGAATAGATGCAAGACGTTTTAAACAAGCCAATACAAAGTTCGTCTTTTGTTTGTACGATGGACATTCGTCTCTGAAAAAAAAATATATGTAAGTCAATGTGGGTATTGTTGGACACGTAGTGGACATAACGATCGTTTCAAAATTTTGTTGTTATTGTTATTATTTGTCTCCGTCAACACGTATGGGAGAAATCGCTTTTCTCTTCGAATACTGGACCAATTGCTTTGAAATTTTCAGTGGTTAATGATAAAAATTTTCTCCAGAAATCTATTACTTCTTTTTTTGCTATGACGTCACCAAAATTATGTGACTCTATGTTTCCATATATTTGAGCATAGCTTTCTTGTAATTGATTGAGTTTATTCCTCTTGCATAGGAAGAAGATACTCTTAGGCCTGAAGATATTATTGACTATATTGAAAAGGAGGGGGAATCTATCGCCGTGATTTTATTCCCAGGTGTTCAATATTACACTGGACAATTATTCGATATGGAATCCATTACAAATGCTGGTCACGCCAAAGGATGCTGGGTAAGTCATTATTTTTCTCTTATTTTTATACGGCGTAATTTTTGCGACAAACATTGCCCTATGGCCTATACAAGAAGAAGCCACTGAGACGCAAGAGGCTACTATAATTTCTAAAGATCGCAATCTGTACGGTTCGTAGCCTTGTTCGGAACAAAAGGCACCAGTAAGTCGTATAAAATTCTTTGGACTGGCTAGACTCGTGCTACAGTGTTGTATTTTTTCGAAAGCGTGCCGGTATACTTGCGTATTGTGGTATTACAATGTCTGACATAATCTAATGCTGTTGTTGTCGCTATATCAAAATCTCGCCTTCTATTTTCAGGTAGGTTTTGACTTGGCGCATGCTGTGGGAAATGTTGAAATTCACTTACATAACTGGAATGTCGATTTTGCAGCATGGTGTACATACAAATATCTCAATTCTGGCCCCGGTTGTATCGCAGGAGCATTTGTTCACGAAAAACACAAAAACAATAATTTCCCTAAATTTATGGGTAAGTAATTTGTTTATTTTAAATAAGATAGCATTTGCATAGATGTATATATACGCTGACTGACACATGATTCCATTGATACTTATAAGTAGTATTTATTCAATTATGTATTTAAAAATAAAGCTTTAGTATAACAAAGAGTCATAAACATTATTAAAAAAAATGTGGGAAAAAAAACAAAATTTAAGACGCAAAAGAAAGAGCAGTTCTGTAAATGCTAGTGATGATAAATACGGCGGAATCAAATTAAATGCCGAAATAAAAGATAAAAGTTTATCGCGTCAATTGATTTCCTAAATAATAAATTACCGTGATCCCGTAGTATGCGTACCAGTTTAGTGTTAGGCTATAATTTTATCCCGATTTTCCTTATCTTATTTCTATTACGAGTTCGGGGACTGTCTGTGTTAGCCAAGTGAATATACCCCTGCCCATAGGTTTCAGTCCCTTTACACAACTTGATGTAAAGTAGGCGAACAAAATTAGTTACCTCCATATTGGTACACTTCTGTAGCACCGATTTTACTATGCCAGTAACTGTGAACATATTTACTATTTTACGAACAGATTAGTGTGTACAAGATCTAAATTGAAAAAATTAACTATACAGGACCTTATCAGGGAGCGAATTCTACTGTAATAAGTGATTACGAAATATCGTCTCCCTGTCCCCTAATGATGGCAAGTGTGAGAGCAAGTATGGAAGTTTTTGCGAAAACTACAATTAAGAAACTACGAAATAAAAGCTTTTTCTTAACGGGGTAGGTGCTGCGTCGACTTTATAAGCGTTGATGCTCATGGCAACATCCTCATATTGCATACCAATTGCGTAACTACATTGTAAACTGTACTGGTATCTCCCCCTAAACTTTGCATAAATTATGCCATTGACCGCCATACTATTTTAATGTTGAAATTTGAAGAAAAAAAATTGGAAGTGAAAAAAATTTAAAATCAATCATGAATCGGTGAGATTCGATTAGAGTTTCTGCACGTTCTTTTTCAATAAATATTATGAACAGCATTTTTTTGGTATTATTAGAATTACAAGGACTAAAGATTCTGAAGTACATTACCGATTACATTTCAGTTATCATTTGAAAACTTCAAGTTTATAATATATACATGGTCTACAATGCATTTTGAATATCTGGTATTTAAAATATGTCCGTATGCTAAATGCTTGACTAAAGTAAATGATGTGACTAAATGCTACATTTTTCATGACAGGCTTCTAAAATATCTGATACAACATTATTTTCCAATGTCAAACAAAGAATTAAACCTACCAACCGTATCCATAATCACGCCAGATAACTTCCAAGAACATGGCGCACAACTCTCATTAGTTTTTTCTGTTCCATTAATCGAGGTTTGTGGTTTTACTATTTATTTATAAAAAAAAATTTTAAGGAATATATATATATATATATAAGTTTACATAACTTTAACTAGATTCTATGGAATGTTTTCATTCCATCGACTGTATATTGTCGAAAGAGTAGGCGAAATCAAATTTACCTTTCTCCGTGGCAGCAAGCAACTCGTTAATACATCGATAATGTAGGCTGTACTCCTAATTGTATATGAGGTCAGAACATCAAGTATGTCCCACAGTTCGTTTTTAACTTCGTATATATATACGTTTATTTTAATTATGGATACATAATACTCATAGTTTATGACGTGGTATGTGGTTAATTTTGATACCTATTTTCATAGATTCACAAAGAAATGACGAAACGAGGAGTCGTGTGTGATGTCAGGAAACCCAACGTTATTAGGATCGCTCCTACTCCTCTTTATTGCACATTTCACGATGTATTTCGATTTGTGGAGGTTTTGAGAGAGTCATTTCAAGCAGCTTCGAGCATTATAATTCGAAAATAAAAATTTTAATTCGATTGTTTATTTTTTTCTTTCGTACCACCCATTCCTGCCTGGGCCCTAACTAACGACTACTTTTTTATGAATTAATGAAATTAATGCTAACTATAATTAATTACCGGTAATGAAAACACTGATCACGAATAAATAGTCACTTAATACCACAGTCGCATACACACCACATAATTTGCTGGTAGTCAACGATGAGGTACTGAAAACTTGGGCATTCAGAGCTGACTAATGATTGATTGTTTGCTTTTTTTTCAAATCGTCTCCTGTTATGTCAAAAGAAGGATACGATATGATTTTACATATTTATCCCGGGGAAAGAGAAAGCCGATAAGACAGCCCAGCCATATCGCGAACCACGCCCGGTTGCCATTCCATGTCGGGTATGGGATTAGTTAGTTATTTGTTTTTTGGAAGCATGGACTTGGATGGTGGAGGAAGCAAACCTGCGACCCACGCAGATTAATCAGAGGTGCGGTGGTGAGCGTATTCCTTCTAACGCTTAGCACGATGCGCCACGCCGCCGAGCAATCATTCAACAATTGAACAGCCTCGACTTTCCTATCTCTCTTTGTGGATATCGTTACTTCGGGGAAGGTCTTTCATTAATCTTAACCTAATGCTTTGAGCTATATTTACGACTCATTGTGTGCAGGTTGTCTAGTCAGTGATCAGAGCGTTGGATCTATGTTGGCTTCGCAGGTCAAAAATAACTCATTAACTTGGTTTGACAAGAGACATGGTTCGCAATATGATTTTTAATTTTATCCAAATCCTCTGTCTCGCCATAAATATGTAAATCGTTTCCCATGACACCTCGGTCAAGATCAAAGTGACTATAATATAGTTATAGTCACTTTGGTCAAGATGTAATTAATTGGGAAGGCCATGACGAGAAAAATTGACTCGAACCCGAGATACCCCAGTCTTTTCAAAAATAGTAGCATCGTAAATATATACTACTACGTAGCACACCAAACGTATTAGTGACTCGTCATACATAGCTTTGTTCGGAGTGAAAAGATACAAGAAAGGAATTCAGCACTTTTGGTCGTTGGTACGTAGAAATCTAAAAAATAAATCGATTTTATTACCCACTCCCAACGACTCCCAACATACCGCCCACTCCCAAGATCTAAAAATGACAATCAGTCGTTGATGACAATCAATGAGCATATATACAATGAGTGGAAACTTGCAAAGATTTGCTCATTGTGGCATTGTTCCCTGCATTTTTTACGTCGTCCAGCTAAATGGTTCGTTGCATATTAAGAAAACGCATTGCTCGCTGCCAAAATCCCTTGCTTCAGCCGAGTCGGGTGCGAAATTGGCCGTATTGAGGCCTTTAATTCTTCAATACATATTTGGTTTTCGGTTTCGAAGTATGGTACGCTGAAAGCATACAACTATGAGCATATGCTTATTGGCAACGCATATCTATTAGACAGAAAACGTATCTACATAACAGAATATGAACCAGTCGCCGAGAGGAGTGCGGTTATTTATGTATTTATTAATTGATATAACATGGGATTTACATATTTATCCAAGGGGAGAAGAAAGCCGAAAAGAAGGCCTAAATATATGGCGAACCACGGCCTCTCTCAATCATAGCTCTGTGCTCCATATGAATCACATGGCTCTGCGAGCTGTTCGTTTACTTATTGAAAATACTGATTTTAACTATAAATTACTCTGGGATATCTTGCCATTGAAAACAAAAGCCAGAAATTGGAAGAATAACAGGGAATGAAATGTGTGTATTATGTAATGGAGAACCTGAGTTTGTTTCACATATTTTCATGTATTGTAAATTTACAAAAAATATTTATGAAGATTTTGTTTTAGATATATTAAAATTGATTAGAATACATTTTGTTATCAATATGATTCTTGCATAATATTTAATTTTAACGATCCTTTATATAGTCATATAGATACTGTTGATTTGGATGCAATTATACTTTTGTAATCAATAGTGAGATATAAAATTTTGACCATGAGAAATTATAAAACACCACATTTTGCCTTTCTCAAAAAGCAGATAAAAAGGCAATAATATGTAGAAAAATATAGAGAATTATAGAATAAACAACCCATTTGAGAGGGAATTGAAAAATTCATGTAAATCATTATTTTAAAATAAAAATTATACGTTTATGATGGTTCCATTATCTTTGAACCCGCGTACATTTGAACCCGTACATCTGAACCCGTAATTTGAACCAAGGACAATTGCACCTGTATACTATTGCACCTATGGACATTTGCACCTACGGACATTTGAACCCATACATTTCCACCCATGGATTTTAGCACCCGCATATAGATTGAACCCGCGGACATTTGAACCCGTGTACGTTTGCACCCGCGTACATTTGAACCCATGTACATTTGCACCCGCGGACATTTGAACCCATGTACATTTGAACCCACGAACATTTGCACCCGCGGACATTTGAACCCATGTATATTTCCACCCACAGACATTTGAACCCACGGACATTTGAACCCGCGTATATTTGAACCAACGTATATTTGAACCAATGTATATTATATTTGAACTCGCGTACATTTGAACCCGCGTACATTTGAACCAACGTATATTATATTTGAACTCGCGTACATTTGAACCCGCGTACATTTGAACCCACGTACATTTTCACAAAAAATGTTTGCCTCAACGGCAATTTCCAGTCGCAAATAATTTTCATGTTACAGGCGCAAGCTCAATATTCTAAATTTCAACACTGTTTTACTTGTAGTTAGTTTTGGTGTATATGCATTTACCCGCTTCTACGAAGCAAGCATTTTTGAGTCTCATTGTAGTCCGAAGGATAAACGTCTGTTAACGATATAAACAACATTGTTCTGCCAAGGTCTTTTTTCTTTTGCTGTTTTTTTTACATTGACATTTGTAAATCCTTATCTCATTCGTTAGCCGCGATCTCCAAAACAGACGATGACCTAGAAAGCGGTATTTCGTTGAAATACCTGAAACCATGGCTAATACGGAACAAATATCTCACAGACCAATGAAGTCTTAAATGAGGGTCTTACTAAAACTAGCTTTACAGTAATATTTTTAGTGGTCAACTCCTATAAATTTGTTCTGAAATTATTGCACCGAAAACGCCTACTATGATATCCCGCCCAGCATGAGATTTGGGAGCTCTGTGGCCACTTCATGTTTTCTTGCTAGCATGTTTACAAAATTGTTATATGTATGCATACACGACCACGCTTTACTGTTGAAAATGAGTGTTGTCTCAAATCAGGTTTTGCCATTTTTCCTAAAATCAATCTATAAATCGAATACTATTGTCTGTATATAAATAAATAAACGCACAGATTCTTCGTTTCTAAGAAAATATGAAATTAAGATAATGAATCTATGCCATTTTTGTAACAATATGTTCATAGCCAAATGCCAGTTTTATTGAAGTATTGTTTCATTAGAATGTCAGAACAAAACTATACATAGAAATCGTAAGTCATGTAAATATGTTGAATATTCGAAAGTGAAGAAGTTTTAAAATCATTATCGTGGCCAAAAATGGTTTTTGCTGTTTACACTATTTAGAGTAAATCGAACATATTCAGCATATAGGGTCTGTTAAATATGATATTGCAATTTACAAACGACGTCATAGGTTACGGATTACATTTATTTTAATATCTCAATAAAGTTATCACTCACAAATTTGTGTCGAATGGGCGATCAATTTTGAGATAGAGTAGCTATGGACGTTTTACAAAATAGGAATTTATCAATTATGATACAATAGTTAAACAACAAATCAAAATAATGACGATAAACGAAATTTTACGATATCACGATCAAAGTCAAAATCAAATAGACTGCATTTGAGCTATTGAGTGGAGATACCTCAGCTTGTCGGTTTCAGTTCCATATGAAAAAACTTTAACTGACAACCTAACAGCAAGTTGTAAATACTTTGATCTTTGGTGGGCCGTAACTCCTACATGAGCATTTGCCGCAGTCAGTTTGCGGACCGCAATGTCTTTTCGTAGGCCATTCAGCAAACCCCATATACTCGGATGTTTGCATCGCAACATTCCTTGTAAGGCGTTGTGAAATCTTTCTACAGCGTTTGTTGTTCTTAGGGCCGAAGGCATCATTTCAATCTCTTTGGCATAGTTCCACAATCGAGGGGGAAATCTTGCTTCTCTTGGACGTGAACCCACTTGAGGTCCACGAATGTAGGTAGATTCAAAATATTGCAAAAGTTGATTGCATTTGGGCGAATCTTCGAAGGTGTCGCAAAGCAAGGTGAAGACTTTGGCAACCTCGTTAATGGGAACAGAAGCCAGAGCTGCCAAACTTCTAATTTTCAGATTGAAAGAGGGTAAACATTCAAACTTCTCTTTTAATCGGATAGAACCAACTTTTCGAATTATAGCTTGTGACAGGTGAAAATAACATCCTTTAATATCGGCCAGAGGAAATTGTGCATGGAATGCATTGATAGCTGCTATTTCAAAATCAACAATGATTTTGGTGGGGTTAGCATTTGGGAAAATGATTTTCAACACTTCCAACATCTGAACGTATGTTTCTTGTCGCTTGTCTCGTAATAGGAAATATACGCATGGTGGATAGGATGCGCCCACTTTACAGTGAATTGTATACAACTGGAAGAAAATATCGGGCACCACATCAAATGTACCGTCGCCAAGATATGTGTCACTATCTAGATGTAAAGTTGTGATCGATCTCCAATGGCCAATATCCGATGACGATCCTCCGGGCCAGTGTCATGCAAAATGATATCTAAATATTCGCTCGGAATATCAAAGCTTGCACTTGTAGGATTCGTACGTGAACCATTTTTCTGTCGCCTTACTCTGCGTATATTGGCCTCCAGAGTCGACTTGCCTGGCAAACGCATTAGTACATCTGTTGATCTATTATTCAATACTTCACTTAAAATATATCTTGTCGATGTATTTGATGGTGTTGATGCTGCTTCTTTTAATGTTGCACCGATGATCCCAACTTCAGTCTTAATGCTGTCGCCAGAATGACTATGATATCCTAGTTCTTTTATTACATTTTCACCGATCGTAATAACAGTCGATTTACATTGAAATTTCCTAAACTGACGGCAGCGCCAATGAGTAGCATCTGAAACC